TGTGATCAGTGGCACTGACAGATTCTTCAGTGTTTCCTTTGGCAGTCTGAGTCCCAGTTTGAGTTATGGCTTTTGCCATAGTAGGATGATACGTTGTAGGGGTGATAGCATACTACTCTGTCTCCTTTGGCTCAGGAGGAGCCTTGTTGGGAAACCTTTGTCCAGCTGTATTTGCGTAATCATTATGCACTTTATAAAAGCCTTATAAAACAATGATGTTCTTGGACGAGGTGGTCATTTTCTACTCTTTCTTAAAGGGTTCCCGAGGCAGCCAGTCCTATGGCCAGGTGAGGCTTTTTTTCTGAAATATATTGAACTTTTCTGTAGGGATCTGCCTTTCAAAAGAACATTCGTTGTTTGTTGGCTTGAGGTTTGTGTGTGTGTGTGTAATGTTTACCTTTTGTTTATTTAGTTTTGGTTTTATTCCTCGTTGGTGTTGCAAGATATTCCCAGTTTTTTGGTCATCCCAAGATACCACATAGTAGAAAGTACACAGCTTTTCTGTGTGGTTTGAAGAGTACAGCTTAATTTATTAATGGGTTCTTGCTTTTCTTACAGGTCTATCAGCCACAAGGTGGCACCTCCTATGGACAGGTAATTACTGGCCAGGATACAGCATTTGTGAAGTGCCATGGCTCTGCAAAAGCATTTAGCTGTCATTCAGAATATGTAATTTAAAGGAAATTTTCTTCTTGAGTGTAAAGTTCATTTTCTTATAGTAGTTACATTGCACTGAAATGTAATGCATACATGTGTTGTCCTCATATGTACATTGAGATTTTCGTGAGGTTTGTTTCTTGAAGTAACAGACTAAGTTGTCATTAGAAGTGAGATTTTTTTTTTAATGTGGGTCTGGGAACAACAGGCTCAACAGCAACTACAGAAAGACTAAGGTCTTTCTCACATAGAAAGGAGTACCTGTAGTCATCTTACCTTCACAGGATTTTACAAGGAAATTCACAGCAGTTCATAGCTAGTCTTCATTCTTTTAAGCAGACAGACAGCTGAATTACTTTTAAAATTTATTTCTTTATTTAAAATGAGGAAAAATTATATTTGAATTACTGAGGTGTTTTGTGTTTTTTTTTCTCCCCAGCAGAGTGGGTCTTCTTCAGGTGGCAGTGGAGGTTGTGGACAAGTAAGTGCCCCTTCTCCAAGGTGTTTCAAAACTAGACTCTGCTTTCTATATATTAGTAACATTTTTCAAGAAACTGTATAATGTCTGTTAGTAGGAATCTTCTGCTGGTACATGAAAATATCTTAAAATATTAGAGGTCTACAATAGATAAGATTTGTTGATCATTGTAACCAAAATGAAGTGGCTTCTCCTATATACAAGTACATGCAAGATGAACAAGTAGAAGAACATTTGCCTACTGAGCAGACAGATGTAACCATTTTAGAGTGAGTTTTGGATGTTTCTCTATGTAGGATGAAATAGGTAAAGAAGGTGACTCGTTAGGTCAGTAGTTGATATCCTGGTTTCATTTCAACTCGTATTCTTACAGCAGTGTAAAGACTGTTACCAGTGATAAGATCCTAGGTGAAGAACAGGGCATGGATGCAGCCTTGACAGTAAATTGAAGTCCAGATGAATACATTGAGGAAAGCAGTGAGACTAATAGAGAGAAGTACCGAAACCTCTAGCAAAAGTATTAAGATTAGTACGACTAAAATATGAATGGAAATGCATGGATGAAAGCATAAGAAGCAATACAAGACTACTGGTGATATGTATCAGTGGGCAAGGATACAGTAACAGCAATGAAACTGAAGAAATGTGAAGAAACACTGAAGAAAGTGTTGCTTCCACTAAAGCTGAATCACAGATGACTTAGCAGAAAAGCTGTGCTTTTAATAACGGGAGGGCAGCAACCAGAATAGAACACATTGTACTGCTTCACACCTTGCAATTCCAAGAAGGATGCATGCAGCCAAAACATACCCGAAACAGGGAAATGAAAGGCAGTAGCCTTACCTAAGGTCTGTAATGAGTGAATCTAGAAAGATTCTGGGGTAGGGGGTCACACAGCATTGACTGTTGGCTCCTAAACGGATTACCCAATGTAATCTTTGATGTTAATATTTGCCAATCAAGAAGAACTTAGATAAGTTAACAGAAGCATCAGTCAAAAAACTACCTCATTTTTCCACATTGCAACCAAATAATCCTGCTTTCATAATCTGTGTTTTGATGCTTATAAGTAGGTGGATACGGAATAGAAAGAGGATAGAGCCACTGACTGAGTGGGTTAAATAAAATTAAACTCATTAAACTCTGTTAACTTTTTGTTTTGTTGGGAACTTTAACAAGAAACCTTTTTTTTTTTTTTTTTTTTGACAGGGTACTTCGTATGATAGCAATCCCTGCCACCAGGTAAATAGACTTCTTCCTCTAATTTTAAATCATATCCAAAATTAGTTTTGCTGCTGACTCAACTGGTACTGACCTCAGATTCATGGAGTGCAAATCCATGCAATCTTTACTAACTGTGGGATTAGAGCTGATGTCCTATACACGGGAGCACCACAGGAACTTCATGTCCATTTTCCTATCCCCTTCTTTTTTCTTTTTCCCCTAACATTATGTCTGAATCAACTTCAGAGCTGCTCGAGACATTATGTAAATGAAGGACGAAGCTCATAGTTCTGAGAACACATTTTAGGAGTGCCATTTGAATTTTGTGAGAGTACTTCAACTCTTCACTGATTTTGTGCAGTGAGATATTGGTAGACAGTGTGTATTTGCTATGATTTTTTACTGCTGGAACACCAAAAATCACTATCCTGTAAGATTTCTTTCATTTTTGAGAAGTCATTTATGTGAACGCTAAAAATCTGTAATAAAAACCAATATTTTTTTAAATTCCTCTTTTATTTTTATTATAAATTTTTAATAAGAATTTTTCAAACTGTTTTATAAAAAGAAGTTATTTATTTCTAAAACTAAAGTAATTACTTAAATTTTGTGCCTTCTAAAAATTGCTAGACATTGAAATATAGAACTTCGTTGGTTTGCTTCCTCTTGCTTTTTCTAGATGAATTCTCAGCCCCATTTTACCAAATGGCAAATATTCTACTTACATTTCTTACTTCACTTTGAGAAGTTATATCCCTTTTTAAAGGGGTTGTGTTGAAACATACGGAGTGTTTTATTTAAATCCTTTTCCTCAAAGCCCCTACATCTTGAAGCTTCCTATATACTAATGCTGTCAGAGGAATTTTTTATTCCATTCGTGTAAATAAGGTTTTCTACAGGAGAAGAAAATTTTGCATTCTCTAGAAACTGTTCTGAATGAAACATACCACTGCTAGGAATTAGCTAAGAACACGTTTGTGCTACCTTGCCATGTGTCTCATGGTGTACTTACTTTTGCAGTCTTAACAATCCACGCTTACCTAGTTAGAAATCATACCTTCATTGCATATTTGCCTATGCTTTTTCTTCCTCTGAAAGAAAAAATATCATAAGTTTCATTAAATCTGTAGTCAAACAGTAAGTTTTAAGTTTTAAATAAGTTTTTAAAAATTATGCATAATTTTTTGTTTAATTTACAGGATGGATCTCAGAGTGGTAGCCAGGTAGGCTGCTTCCTATTATCCACTGATCAAAACTGTCTAATAAGTTCTAATCCATAGCATAATTGTGTTGTTTATGAGGGTGTAGATTATTGCATAACCTCCCCATCTCCTTTAATTAATCCCCAGTGCTTTATATCAACACTGAAACTTACATAGAATGGACTCTATAACCTCATAAAGCTAACTCTGCATTGTTACATGGTTCAGCTCTACAAGTGTAATATCTATTGCTGCATTGTTTTCATAGGGTGGATCATACTCCTCACAAAGCTATGATGGTAGCCAAGTAAGTACTAGGTTATTATTTCTTCTCAACGAGGCTTTATTTCACACAGATCCCATAAGCTCTGATCAATATTGTATCTGTATAATGTTGTAATACTCAAATTTTGTTGTTCTTGGCAGGGTGGATCATCATCCTCACAAAATTATGGTGGCAACCAGGTAGGAAGAAATTGATTTTCCTTATGTCAAAAGTTGTTATCGTATCTGATAAGAAATTTTCGCCAGATTTGTTCTGCATTCTTAGGTGGCTGTTCTGTACCATGCTTGATTAAAATGCTGGAATTGCAGTTACTGTCATCTAGAAAGTTGTAACTGTCTAAAATAATCTCCAGCAATTGTTTATTATAGCTTTACAATCCCCAAACGAAATCACAATTTCTTCTGACATTGGTTTTGCATTTGTTATTTTAAAGGGAGGATCAAAAGCTATGGTAGTGGCCAAGTAATGCTTTATTTTACCAATTACAAATTATATCCTACAAGTTTTAGCCTCTTCTTGAAATCAGGTTTTCTGTATCCTAATGTTCTCTGATTTTGATTGGTTGGTTTGTTTTAAAGGGTGGATCGTATTCACAAAACTATGGTGGCGGCCAAGTAAGTAGTGTTTTATTTCACCATTTACATATTATTTCCTATGAGCTTAAGCTTCTTCTCAAAAGCAAGTTTTCTGAATCCTAATATTCTCTGGTGTTGATTGATTGGTTTATTTTAAAGGGTGGGTCTTCCTCACAGAACTGTGGTGGTGGCCAAGTAAATAACACTTGATTTCACCAATTACACGTCACTTCCTACAGGCTTTAGCTTCTGCTCAAAAATGGGTTTTCTGTATCGCAATGTTCTCTGATTTTAGTTGGTTTGTTTGTTTTAAAGGGTGGATCATACTCACAAAACTATGGTAGTGGCAAAGTGAGTGAATGCTTTGTTTTTCTATTTATGTATTGCATCCTACAAGCTTTGGCCTCTGCTCAAACTGAGGTTTCTGTATGTTTGTTTTCTCTGAACTTGGTTGTTGCTTTATTTTAAAGGGTGAATCATACTCACAAAACTATGGTGGTGGCAAAGTAAGTGAACATTTTATTTCTATACTTAAATATCGCATCCTATCAGCTTTAGCCTCTGCTTAAATTTTTTTTTAAATTATTGTAACTTTCTCTGATGTTTGTTGGTTGGTTTATTTTAAAGGGTGGATCATATTCACAAAACTATGGTGGTGGCCAAGTAAGTTATGCTTTATTTCCTTACTTACACATCACATTCTACAAGCTTCAGCCTATGCTCAAAATCATGTTTCCTGTATCCTAATGATCTCTGATGCTGGTTGGTTGTTTCCTTTTTTTTTTCCTGTTGTTTTTATTTTACTGGGTTTTTTTTGCTTTTGTTTTTAAAGGGTGGATCATACTCACAGAACTATGGTGGTGGCCAAGTAAGTAGTGCTTTATTTCACCAATTACACACTACTTCCTACAAGCTTTAGCTTCTGCTTAAAATTGCTTTGTATTTTTCTCTGTAATGTAACTTTCTCTCATGTTTGTTGGTTGGTTTGCTTTAAAGGGTGGATCATCTTCTCAAAACTATGGTGGCAGTCAGGTAAGTTACTTTACTTCCATACTTGTAAATCACATCCTACAAGCTTTAGCTGCTGCTAAAAGTTAGATTTTCTGTATCATTATTTTCTCTGATTTTTATTGGTTAATTTTAAAGGGTGGATCATACTCACAAAACTATGGTGGTGGCCAAGTAAGTATCGCTTTATTTCTCTTTTTATACATCAGTCCTTACAAACTTGAGCTTCTGTCAAAATTGGGTTTTCTGTAACCTAATTTTCTCTGATGTTTTTTGTTTCATATGTTTTAAAGGGTGGATCATCTTCCTCCGACAGCTATTATGATAGTCAGGTAACTACTTCTTTCTTTCTTCTTATGTATTATTTCTTGCAGATTTTTGTAGATCCTACTTTATTGTGTCATCTTCTCTTAGATCTAATAAAGTGTAATAATTTCTATGCTCTTCTTATTTCTTTCTCATTTATCTTCTTCTGAAGAGTGGAATGTTCCCTGTCAGCAACTATTACAACCATGTACTTGACCATTTTTATTATTAGAAACTTTAACTCAGCAAGCAGTTTTTTGTTTTCATGAGCCTCGATTCTGTCTTGCTGAGTGCAAGATCAAATATCTTTTTAACTATCCATTTTACTGAGGAAATAACTGGATATCTGATGTCAATGTAGGATTCGCAGGATTTCTCAGATGATAATCCCAATGCCTGTGATGATGTGAGTATGCTTTCTCTAATATATTTTCCTCACAACTCTATTCATATAGATGAGAAAATACTGCACTATGAGATGCAGTCTTGTGAACAGATTTACTGGAGGGAATATTTAGTCTTCACATGGATAGCTGCTTTAGCAGCTGCATATTTTCTTACTGAAAACCTGTGCTTACTGATGCATTTTGTACTTTTAAATGCATTTACCTTGATGAAATGAATAAAACAATTTCCATTGCTTTGCACAGATGTTTTTTTTTTTCCCAAAATGTAAGGATACACTTTACACTAATTAAACAACTATAAAAATAATTATAAATTCCATAGACAAGTTTTGAATACATATCTTGAAAGACGGAAAAGAGATGAAGAGACAACATGATTTTCACTTTCTATTATTACCAATTTAAGTTTAGTACTAAATTATTTTAAGTCTGTACACAACATTAGAAAGAATTGAATTTCTGTGAGCTTGCTGTATTTAAATAATTGATCTTTCTATTTTCCAGAATGACACTACATATAGCGCTAATAGTCGGGTAAGGGTTTTTCTTCACTTATGGTGTTGTTATTCTTTTGATTGAGGACAGTGTTAGTAACTGATCACTTCTAGTTTGGATCTATGTGTCTCTACTTGTAGTGAACGATTAATTAACTTTATGAAGGGTATTATAAAAACAATCAAGGAGTGAGATTGTTTGATGTTATATTTCTCTGTACTCAATTCCTTCTGTTAGTTCTCAGGGCTGCTGCACAATCTTCTAAAACTGCACAATACTTGTAAGAATGTACACTAGAGTTTTTATTAGGCCCTTCAGGATATAGGCCATTCAGTACTTTGGCTGGATAGTTATTTTGGAATTAACTATCTGTATATGCGAGACATGTCGCTGTCTCAATCTTTTGCCACTAGTTTTAATTTAAACTTGCATATATGATAGTCTTCTGGGATACTCCTTCTGTCTTGACTGTTCCTTCTGTCCTGCAAGCAGGAATAGTGACTTAAGTGGATAGATTGACCAAGCAATTATTTCATGCCTTCCGTTCATAGAAACTCATTTTTTCCTTTTTTAAAACTGCCATCTAAAGAAATCTTCTGTCATCATCTACTTTCCTTCTCTTCAATTGTCAGCCGTATGCTCAACCGCTTCAGTCTTTTCCCTATTTTTCCTTTCTATTACATTAGTAATTTCTGATTTTGTTGCTGTTCAGGCAAATATACTCAAAACTGGAATTGCTCTTTGCTTTCCTGTGAACTTGTTGTATGGAATCTGCTTCTTTAGCAGGGGCAATGAACTAGTTTATCTCCAAAGTCACTTCCAACCCCTACAATTCTGTGATTCGTCAAATATACTGAATTCAGTGGAGGGGGGACATGATGCCACACTAAAAACAGACTTTTCTATCTCACTGTTTATTAGGCGTGCATTATGGTGCAGCTAGGTCTGAATTGAAACTGGTTGCAGAGCAAGAAATACACAGATGAGCTTTGCATTCCTATTTTTACAGTACAATGATTTTGGAAGATAAATGATGTTTTCCTCTCTTGCTCCAAAGCTAATCTACGAATGTTGAAGTTATTTGAAAATAAAACTATCTGATACAAATATTTACCACTGTATCATCTATTGAAAATGAGGCCAACCAAAATGTCGTTTTCAAGGAAGACGTTTTCCTTTCCCTAAATATGTTATTTTTGACATTTTTAGATAGAATCTTACAGAAAGTACTTTGTGGGGATATCTCCATCTATAAAACAGTAAATAGCTTCTGATTTCATTGCAGAGCTCTAGCTGTGTGAAGAGGAAAGTTGTTGTCAGAGTAAGTAACCCTTTTCTTCCACTACTTTGCAGGATTATTATCCAAATTATGCCTAATTTGTCATAATTATCCCTATTTTTTTCCCAAATTGTGTTTGTGTTTGACCTAATTAATGTTCTTGTGTTTAAAGATAAACTAAAATAAAAGAGCTTGTCCATTTGCTCTTTTTGGATGTCTTATTTTAAGGTGTGTGTGTGTACATGCCTATCATACATATAATATGAAAAAAATACCTGGCATGGAAACTTGTTATGAGATACAGGGCAACTCAAATTTCTGTCCTTCAAGAAGCACATACAGAATTCCTCCGACCTATGATTAGTTGAAATTAATGAGTTTTGCAAATAGAGGGCAGTCAAGACATAGCTGAAGATATAATAATGAAGTAAAAACATAGTGCTTGGAAATTTGTTGTGCTTTCTGTTATATGAAGGACATACAGATACAGTATTATATATCTTCCAGTCGTATTGCAGTAGTCTATAAAAATTGAGCAAATTATCTTTTATAATGAGGCATTTCTACTCAATATGTGCATTAATGATCTGGAGTAATTATAAATAATGAGTACAGGAAAAAAAAAGGCTTATGGCTAGGCTCTTAATATCAAATGTCTCTCTTCTTACAGGATACGTCACATGTTTTAAGCAGAAGAGATTATGATGTCCAGGTAACCATACTCATTACTTTTTATGAACTACTGCTGGTGTTACAGCTACTTTAGTGTACATACTAGAAGAAGCATAAAAATTCAGCTTTTCTAACAGATTATTCTGTTTAGAGCTAGGTAGTTCTTTTCCAGTAGAACTGTGTATTTTACTTTATTACCCTCACTGAAAAATGAGTAATTTCTCATTACTTTACAGAATGAATCCTCTACTTCAAACAACAGCCACACTAATTACCAGGTAATAACACAGTGTCCACTGCGTCATCTTATTGCAGGAATCTTCCTCATAAATTATATTTCAATTTCTGAAAATTGATTTCCACTAATTTATCTGTATTTGGCAATTTTTTTCCATACTGTTAGAATTTTACAGAAATGAATAATGATAAAGGGCCCAGAATATAACACCTTCTGTGTTCCTGCACTTAATAAATAATAAATCCTTATGCAAAATAAAAAGTTTCAAAATCTGATTTTTAGAAACAAAAACTAGTGAAGGATAATGGTCAGATATATATTCATGTTCTATCTGGAATTTGGTAACAAGATACATGTTGTGACTTCTGTTGCAAAAGTCTTCATGTTTTGTAGTGCTACCTATCAGTTTCTTGGAGGTCTGTACTCCCACTATGCCCAGCACTAAATAGATACAACATTAGCATAGTCCTTTGTTTCAAAGAGTTTAAGTTGATAATACTAAGATCCATGAGTTCCAATGAGTAGTACTTCTTTTTCATTAGTTTCCCTGGCATCCATTTGGTATGTATTTTACCCAGTCACTAAATAATTTATTTGTGAAATTTAATTGAGAAACATTAATTTAAATGTGAAAATTTACATTTTTATAATGTTCCAAAGTTCTGAATGGATAATTTTGTTTAATGTGGGGAAGTCATACAAAGGTTGTGGCCTTACATATCACTGCAGTATTTTTAAGTCATTGAATTCTTTTCCTAGACATACTTTAGATCTGATGAAATGCTTCTATAAAAATGATTGTTTTCTTCACAGGGTGGATCGTTCATTGCAACTGGTGGTGGATCAAGTGGTCAGGTTAGATATTTCTCTATTGTTATCTGGTGTTGTCCAGATAGCTTCTTGGTAATTTAACTAATTAAACTCAGGAGTCAAAGCTTAAGTGCACTAATTTTGCAATGGAACTTTGGTTATGTTACAGATGAAATTGTAAATTAAATGACACTGTTCAGATTACATTTATTTGAAATGGCTCCATGAAATTGCTTTTTAACACTTCAAATTTCACACATGGCTTATCAGTAAATGAATGTTGGTACTCTTGACTTCCCAGATTGCTCTCTCTTGATGAAGCATCTAAAATTGAGACAGCACTGAGAGATGTCATGTCAGTTTAACTTCTAAAGCTAACATTAAGTATCTAAAACTATGCTGCCCTCTTATTCTTTTCAGTTGTAGGAAAGTCACAGCTACTTTGCAGTCCTCTGATCATTCTTCCTCTAAATATAGTTTGGCATATGAAGTAAGGCATCATTTCAAATTTCCATACATCAGCAACAGTTTCATTGTTTTTATTTATAGGGTGGTTGCATTTGTCCTGATGGAAGCAGTGGTGTTAGACAGGTGATTCTTTTTCCTTAATTTATACTTACATCTACATAATAGAATATTTTAAATTGATCATCTTGTAATTATGGACACAGGTAAAACCAATTATTGATAATTTCCTAAGTATAGATAGAATTATATACAATGAAATGTAACTTTTGTTATAAATGTGGCTTTTACTTTAAGTATGTAATTACCATTTGGCCACTAGCTTTCTTTATCTGTACTTTGTAATACAAATGCTGTCTGTTGACTGCTACATGCAAATTTTACATTACTGTCAAAAAACCATGCCAGTATGTCCCATAGTAACCACAAGAATTAATCGCATTCAGATTAGATTCCTTGTACTTCTCACTTATCTAATAAAATATTGTGGAAAAAATGTCAAAAATTGATAAATATTTTAAATGTTCATCTCTTAAATCAATATTTGAAGCATTTCTTTCTCATAAAGAGAATCACTGCAACTTCACGTTCAGTGGCACTTGTCTCTCAGGCAGTGCCTCTGCGTCAGGAAAAGACTAGGAATTTAACCTAGGAATTAAATGGATATTATGGCTGAACTGGTTTCATAGTGCAGGTGAAGGTTCTTTGTCAGTGAAGTGTACTTTCAGCTCTTGTTCTCCAAATACAAGTGGAGCAGTATAAAACAAGTATTAAAAGGCAAAGAATAGGCACATTTTAATGAATTTTTAAAATGAGATTTGTTAAGGTTTAAATGTAAATACTTTTTTTTTTTTTTTTTTTTTTTTTTTTTTCTCCAAGGGAAATAATGGTTTTTCTTATGTGGACTAGAAAATTTGTCATGCTGCAGTTATCCCACTTCTTCTCCATAGTTTTTCTAAAGACAACAACTCAGTCTACAAATTCTCTGAGGAAGCAGCCCAACCATAATTTTCTTGTCTGTTCAGCACATGAAGCAAATGTATAAATAATAATAGATACAATGTACTGGTAAATAGTGTTTGTCATTTAAGTGGTGAGCTGAAAAATCTGATCAATATTCTGTTTACACTTCGGAAGCTAAATATATTAGCAAATACCAAAGACATGGTCAGGGCCATGATCTGTAACAGTGTAAAGTCTACCAGACATAACATACTGTTCTACAGGTAGAAAGACTTAGATGAAAAGGTATTACTTTTTGCAGGTCATTTAACCTGAAAAGACCCAGGAACAGGTTTCTTCATTACTAATGAAAATTATCAGCCTTCTTTTTTAATAATTGCAGAAATGTTCCTTTGGAGAGAAAATATTTTGGAAGAAGAGAAACCAAGAATTAGACTCATTTACTTGAATGTCTGTTTGCAATAAAAATAACTTGTCTTTTTTTTGTTTTTGTTATTTTCCCTTCAGGGAGCCCCTGGTTCTTCATACAGCACATATTCTGGTAACCAGGTAAACATTCAGATTAAGCATCCGATTCAGAAGCTTCATATCAAACCTTTCCAAAAGCAGTAGCAAATATTAACCAGTACCCATTCTGTCCTCTTCTGCACAGGGGGGATCTTCCTTCTACCATGGAGGATCCTATGGACAGGTAGTTGTTCATCTACCCTTGTTAGGAAAACCCAGATACCCATTATTCTGATTTCTAGTCTACCAGTACCATGGGAGCTGCAGAATATCGTAATCACAGACTGGACAGGCTAAGTTACATCAACCCTAAAGCACCTAGCAGTGTGAAGTTTGACAGAATAATATGCAATACAGAATAGTATGCACAGTTTCTTGCAGAAATCATATTTTATTAGGTTGCGAAAATTGCTGCCAGAAGATTTCTTCTATTTTAATAATATTGATCTTAATTTTCATTTAGATACTAAAGATTAACTCAAAACTAGGAGAAAGGGTATAAAATGAAAATCAGGTGCATTCATCTTACCTGCAAGAAAATAGCTGGTCTGTTGTTTTCCTTTCAGGGAGGCCCAGGTTATTCCCACAGCTCTTATTCTGGAAACCAGGTAAATATTCTGGTTGCTGTACCAGCATGGGAGAAGTCTAAGCATCTTTACTGATCAGACATTTAAAGTATAAAACAATAACTTAATGTTTTGTGTACAGGGAGGGTCTTCCTACTCTCCTGGTGGATCTTACGGACAGGTAAGATTTTTTCCTCTCTTGTAAAGTCAACACAGACTCCAGTATCTTCATTCCTAAGCTCCCCATGTGTAGAGACTGTTAGGAAACACCCTACTTAATTTCTAACAAATTAATCAACCATAATGTAAACTACAACATGAAGTCTGCCAGGGCAAACAAAAACAAAAACAACAACAGAAACAAAACTAAATTGTGTTTAGAAATTCCTAAGAGTTGTCTCATTTTGCTGAGAATATTATTGCTATAAAGTTTCTTGTTCTTTAACAATTTTATCCTAAATTGAAGATCAGGTACATTTATTTGTAGCATCCTATTTGCAAGAAAATAGGTGGTCCATACTTTCTTTTCAGAGATTCCCAAGTTCTTCACACAGTGCATATTCTGGTAACCAGGTAAACATTCAGATTAAGCACCCCATCCGTCTGAGACCTTTCTGGAAGGAGTAGACAAACATAAACTAGTAACGCATTCTGTCCTCTTCTGCACAGGGGGGATCTTCCTTCTACCATGGAGGATTCTATGGACAGGTAGTTGTTCATCTACCCTTGTTAGGAAAACCCAGATACCCATTATTCTGATTTCTAGTCTACCAGTACCATGGGAGCTGCAAAATATTGTATTCACAGACCGGACAATAGTCTTTTAGAGAGGCTAAGTTACATCAACCCTAAAGCACCTAGCAGTGTGAAGTTTGACAGAATAATATGCAATACAGAATAGTATGCACAGTTTCTTGCAGAAATCATATTTTATTAGGTTGCGAAAATTGCTGCCAGAAGATTTCTTCTATTTTAATAATATTGATCTTAATTTTCATTTAGATACTAAAGATTAACTCAAAACTAGGAGAAAGGGTATAAAATGAAAATCAGGTGCATTCATCTTACCTGCAAGAAAATAGCTGGTCTGTTGTTTTCCTTTCAGGGAGGCCCAGGTTATTCCCACAGCTCTTATTCTGGAAACCAGGTAAATATTCTGGTTGCTGTACCAGCATGGGAGAAGTCTAAGCATCTTTACTGATCAGACATTTAAAGTATAAAACAATAACTTAATGTTTTGTGTACAGGGAGGGTCTTCCTACTCTCCTGATGGATCTTACGGACAGGTAAGATTTCTTCCTCTCTTGTAAAGTCATAGAATTGCAGAATTGGAAGGGACTAAAAGAGATCATGGAGTCCTACTGTCCAGTCAGCACAGACTTCCATAAGTCTGAGATTAAAAAGATTGCACTTTCTATTTTCTGTTCAGGGAGGTTCTTCTGTCAGTGATAACGGAAGTGAATCCTATGGTCAGGTAAATCCTCTTTTTTTTTTTTTTTTTTTTAATATATTATATATATATTCTATATTTTGGCTCTCATATTTTAACAAAGATATATTTTTTTTAAGGAGTGAAATTACATGTACTCTATATCCTGGAAGTTTACAGGAGAGTATGCAAAAAGTGAGGTGCTTCCAATGATTGCAGCTTGATCACAACAAAACTAACTTTAACTTTGCATATGACAGAGGATTTGGAACTGGATGACCTTTAATGTTCCTTCCAGCCCAAGCCATTCTGTGAACTTTGAGTTATCAGCCAGATGAAAGTCTCTGCCAAATTGGAAATACAGTTAGTTCTAAGAATTTGCTAAATTAGTATGTTAAAATTAGTTTCTTACAGGGATATATGACTGAGTTGCTCAATATGCATTCTGAGAACTCAGTAAGTATTTGTAGATTTTAAATCTCCCCAGAAAAAGATGCCTGCAGTTGTATGCTTCTACAATGAAATCTCTGTTTGCAATATGAAAATGATTTGTGTTATCTGAGCAGGATGGATCTTCCGCATATGGTGGCATTGGACCTTATGGTCAGGTAAATATAATTTATTTTATGCATCAAAAGCTGAAGGTTGGTTGCTGGTTCTTACGTGTACTGCCTTCTGTATTTCAATTATTTTTAGTGGTGACCGTCTGATACTTTCTGTTTCTCTTTTACTTTGATTTACTTATCTACAACACCTAATATTTTCAATAATGGAGGGAAGGTGGTGCACTATATGCTATATGCACTCTCCTCCTTAATATGCTACTGTCAGTCCTCTTATTAGTACTTTTTTTTTGTCTTAATGTTTTTGCATCAGCTCATTCAAAGGAAAAAGTAATTTGTGAATTTACTTGACACACCTTATTGTGCAGAAGCCCAAGGGGAATGGACATACTGTTTATAAGTCTGTATTTATTGATGTGGACTTTATTATAAAACCATTTCATAGGGACTACTTTTTTTTTTTTTGGTAAGCAATACGTTTTAACCACCCAAAGACATGTAAAATCATTTATTTAAAAATAAGACATAATCTAGGAGTTTTTCTTGAAAAGACTTTTTTATTGCTATTTATATTGTAGATCCTACAAACAAATCGTAGAAAATGAGTTTTTTGAATGTAAAGAATAGTTTATTTCACAAATCAACTTTATCTAAAATGTTTCCTGAAAGAGAACATATTGACAAGAAAGTTTTATTCTGTTCTTGTATGCGTGTGTTATTGTTGTTTCTTAACCTTCTCTGTTTAAGCAGTAGGTAAAGTAGTATATCTTTTAATTTTCTTTTAATGTGTTTCTACTATTTTGCAGGATTCACCTGCCATGGGAGTTAGTGAATCTGATTACAGTGTAAGCAATCCTACTCAAGTAAATTAATCTAAAAATTTACTGCCTTTTGAATTCACTAGGTGCTTATGTGGACCTTTACCTATCTCATAACCTTCAAGAGTTCTTTTACAGCATATTCTAATAATCTGTGTTGATTAGTAAGTTTCTGTAAGAACTTCTTGAAATAATTGTTGTCTCTATAGATTATTTAGAATTCCATTTTCTTTTATGTCTTTTTCTTATTTTAAAGTATGTTAAGGACTTGACACATGAACTTTACAACAGTTCTGATTTGTAACAATCATACATTTTTTTTTATATTGCTTATTAGAAGTAGCATGTGCTAGGGAACCTCTTTTCCTTTATTTCATGTTTTCGGACAAAGTTCCACATTAGTATATGCTCACAATATACAAAACAACCAAAAACAATGGATTATAATAAGACCTCATTTCTTTATTACTCTGTATTGAATATCTAACTGAGAAAAAATAAATGCCACTCCCAGAATTGAACAGACAGTGAAAGAATGCTGCTTATCCTACAGCCTCCAAATTTAACTGTCCCAACAAGTCACACAAACAAAGCAGTAGTTTTCATCACCTTCTACGTAAACAAAACTGAAGTATTTGCATGAAAAATCTGGATTCTAATATTTTACAGGATTCCACCTCGCCATCTTACAACCGTCAGAGTGAACGGGTAAGCACTTCTTCATGTTACCGTATTCTCTGCCCCAATGCTTTTAAGGACTGGCAAGTACTGGCTACTTGAATGCAGCTTGTGTGGAAGCTGATATAGCAGTCTTCAGACAAAGTCCTCAAGCTAAGGCACAGAGGGAATGAGGCTAGGGCTGAAGTGGCTAAGGACTATGAAAAATCCCAGCCAATGGCTGAGGTGTACTCTTCAATCTCAGACTCACCACTACAAACACCATGCCACAATTTACTTGTTCAGGTTCCTGTGCATTTTTGCTCATGGTCTTGCTGCAAAAGGCTTCCATACTATAGCATGTCCAGTATTTATTCTATGCAAAACCCTGTGCTTTCTCGTGCTTCATGCTGTTTTATGAGGACTTCCATTTTCCTCCCATTTTTACCTGGCACTCATTTTATTAATTCATATGAGAATTTAGTGACTGGGAAATGATTTTGATGGATGTACAAGAAATTGTCATTATGCCAAAAATATCTTGTCACCAAAAGACCATTTAACAACAGGGACAAAGAGACATGTGCTGTTCTATGCAGAAAGAAATTTTTCTTTTTCTTGAGCAGTCCATGAGAGAAAATTAAGGAATGTGGAGACATAAGAAAGAACATTCAGCTTCCATCATGATCTTTCCATAATAGAAAAGAAAGGAAGTCTTGGTTTTTTTTCATGTACTTTCAATACATTTTTCCAGGATTTTTATTCCCCTGGAGGCAGCCAGTCAGGTGGACATGTAAGCATCTATTTTATTCATTATTTGCAGTTCCCTCCCCAAGTGGCAGTTCTATTAAAAGTGATCCTGACAAGTAAATTATGCCTATTTGTCTACTTCTAGAATTTCTCATGACATCTGTAATCATATCTTGTGAAAGAAATGATAAATTTTATGAAAAACTATTTTATAAAAATGTGTATACAAGTATTCAGCAACACAGTCTTGTTTTCTAGAAGCCATTATAAACAGAAATAAATAGAGTCTATTTTTGCAGGGATTATCTTCTCAAGGTGGTGGCTATTCTGGTGGACAGGTAAATACTAACATTCTGTATTTTTCACTTGAAGTATCTGTTGCACACACACATAGAAAGATTATTCTGCATTACAGAAAATTTTTTTATGAGGAATATTTTTTTGTGTGTGTGTTTAAATACTTCTTCCTTGTATAGCTTTATATATAAATCCAAGTGTAAGCAGTGTGTTCAAAATGCTAACATGGAATGAATGGCATTCTAATGTTAAGAAACAAATGAAAGTAATAAATATTATTTATAATGTGCATCTTTAACATAGAAAGTAAATATTCTTATTTTTTTCAGGGCTCGTTCTCATCAGGAACCAACCAGTATGGTGGGCAGGTGGGAAATTTATTTTTTTTTAATCTCCCCCAGTACATGTTTCAAGAAAATATTGTAGAATTGATAATGCCCAATTTTTTGTACTTTTTTTTTTTTTTTTTCTGTAGACAAGAGTAGATTCATAATCTTATAGATTATTTCAAACACAGTTTGTAGAGTAAAAGATAATATATTTCGGTCAAACAGACAAGTCAAACTTAAAGATGATCGTATAAATAAAAATATAACCATTTTACAGGGTTCACCTTCAAGAGGCAGCCAATCTGGTGGACAGGTATGCTTTATGTTCTCAACACCATTCAGCCCTGCTAGTATTACAGGCACTCTCACTTTAGCTTCTGTAGCTTTGCTTCACAAGAAGTGCTTTTCCTCACCGCTGTCCTTCTTGCCCACAGCCTAAGTAGCATGCTGTTCTCCTCTGACGTGTCACTCAGAGATCCCAGAGGCTCAGAGTAGCCATCTGTCTGAATATCAGTTGTCTTTATCTTCATACCCTCTTCATCCATGTTGCATTTGAGACACCGAATGGCAAACCTCAGCCATGTCTTATTTTTATCAGATTAGAAAGCGTCTTGCAGGCCTCCACTGAAAGTAATCCTTAGTGTTTTCCATAACATCTGTAGCATGTATGAGTTCTGCATGTATTCCAGCTACTTTAGCTTCTTTTAGGGGAGGGTAATAACCAACAATTTTTCTGTAGCACTCAAACTTTTTCATTTCCCTTTTGATGAGTTCAGTTCATAAGGTAATGATTGTTGATAACAAATTTAAAGATAAAATTAGAAAGTTTTACCCCATCAGAGCAGTAAGTGCAGGAAAAGTTGCAGACAATGAAAAGAATAAAAATAGATTATGTTCTAGAAAGCACTTGAGCAGATATGAATGTAACTTTATTGTTTGCATAACTGGATTTGCAGAAATAACTTGAATTATAACCAGAGTCCATTTTGGTACTGTTCTTGAGAACTTAAAATATTTTCTGCATTCTTTACAGGGTGGATGTGATTGCTCTGGTGTAAGTTCTGTAAGTGTTATTTGTTTATTGTATGTTTTTTTATTTTTTTTTATTGTTATGTTTTTATACGTACATGTATGTGTAAGAGAATGTTTATATGATTTGGAAAATTATCTGTAGGCCTATTTATTTCTAAGTTATTTAATTATCTATTTGAATGTACTGTTCAAATTTATATTCATTATTCCTTTGGTAACAGTATGCATCACTGACATGATAGAGTCTGTTTCTTATGCTGAGATTTCACATGTCTACAGCTGACAGCATGATGTATTCTGTGAAAAATGGCTGTCTATTGCTATGAAAGTATTTATAGAAATGTATATATACTTCTCCAAAATAAATAAAGGTAGTTTATATACCTTTATTTATTTTGTTTATATTTATATAGTATAAATAAATAAATAAATAAAGGTAGTAATGATTTTCCTCTAGAGTATTTGAAATCTGTTAAATACAGTAATATATGGTTTTCAAAGCAAGTAGTATGTGGTCAATCATCCTGCTGTATATAAAGGACATTTGCACAGTTTGGGTAGAATTCTTGTTTTCTAGGTAATCAGTCATGGGTAGATACGAAGCAATTCTTTGTGATTTACAGTCTTACAGGCCGCAGAAAGACTATTGGCCATCTTGGCAAATTACTGAAAGTGGAATTTAAGTGTAACTCAAGTTCAGATTGTCGTGTTCTTTCTTTAAAGGAACACAGAAGAGACATTCTAAGGTTTTGTTTCATTTTTTGTTTGATCAAAGACAGGGGCTAACTTTTTCTGTTGTTGCTTTTGTTGTTTTATTTTTCTCCTCCCCTACAGAGCGGATCATCTTCCTCACTCAGAAGTAATTCCTCTTCTAATGTAAGCAGTATTCATCAGCCTTTTAAGGGTACCCTGCGTTTGTTTTGTCAGTATAATAGTAGAGAGATTAAAAAGAGTTAGCATTGAATAGTCATACACTTCTAAAAAATAACCCACTTTAGTTACTATAAAAAAATATACACAGGACATTTTTGCATCTCAGCTTGTTTTTCAATCTGAAATAGTATTCATTCAAGCAGAAGTCTTTGAATGAAAAACGTTTGGCAGAAACACAGGTACATGTCAATATAATTATGTATTTAGGGAATCAGTATTACTGCCTTCTTCGAAATCATGTCAAATCATGTCTTATGGACACAGATTTTTGTTTGTATTCCTTTTTCGTCACTCAGTGCAAGAAAAAGATTAGCATTTCATAAGTCAGCAATTTCTTGATGTTAACCTCCTCGTACAAATGAGAACTCTTTTACAGGAGAGACCTGTTTAAGAATCTTCAGAATCTGTTCTGTTCCTCATGCTTTAGAAAGTCACACCAGTACATTACTGGCTCCATATGCATGGCACTTAAAGGAGAAAAAGCACTTGGATCTTTCTGTACCTAGCACTGAAATCTGTGTCATTATTTTCAGACTGCTAGTTGATATAAAGCCAGATTAGACTCAGCTACATGAGTGTACCATACAGAATTAATACTGTGTGATAAATAAAACTAGCCTTATGCTTTCTTGCAAGAAGGAAGAATGTGTATATGTCTACAGTCAGAAAGTAATTCTTACCCTTCATATTATTGATGGTAAGATGTGTTTTCTATGGAACTACCTGTTGGGTCTGAGGCATTTTTATACTGACTTGGCCATCTTCAGGTGTCAGTCCTGAATCAGGGATTGTGTATAAGGAACGAGGGAACATAGTGGCTACATATCAACAAGTACTGCAGATTTATGGAAACGGGTCTACAGAGTGGAATAGCGATTGCTCAGAAACTGATGTTCACATGTCTCAGGAAGTTAGATCTGATCCAATGAACCCAAATGTCAGTTTACTTTTGGAAGGCAACCCTAGAGAATGTGCTGAAATTTAGTGTTATCTGAACAGCATCCAATTTATTGCCTCTGAGTACTCTTCCTGATGCAATCAAAATTGTAGGAACTAGAAAATATCAGGAATATTGTGTCAGAGTTGCACTCCTGATCCAGACTACAATGTATAGATGTTCCCAGTACCTCAGCAGGGAAAAGTGGCTTATGTGTACTTAAAATAGAGCTTAGATCTCCCCGGAATGTATGTTGCAGTCTATCTCAGAATGTTGTCTCTTAGTATCTTCTTTACAGTGCAGTTGGAAAGCCATTTTTGCAGACTAAGGATTCCTTATTAAGTATACATTATTGATAAGTGCTTAGCATGATGTACTAGCCACAAAACTGTCTCATTCCTTAGTGAGCTTAATAGATCTTGTGGAAAAGCAGCAGTACTCAAAATACAACTCTGCAAGAATGGATATTAAAAGATTTTTGCGAGTATGTTGTTTTAGCATGTTCACTAATTTTAAACTGAAAGGCAAAAGCTACCTATCTTCCAGTCAGATTCTTTGAAGGAAAATAACTGATTTTTTTCAAAGGGACTGTGGAGGCAGCCATTCTGGTGGATAGGGGCACATAAAATTCTAGATGTATTAGAAAGATGTATGTACTACTGTCCTTCAAGAAGCCTTCCTTCAAAAAACTTCTGTTATGGAAAAATAACTGATTTATTTTTCTCAGGACACATCTTATTCTGGAGGAAGCCGTTACAGTAGCTATGTAAGTAATCGTTTTGAAAGAAGAGCCAGCTTGCCAGTTTGAAGAAGCTTTGGTTTTGATGTGGGAACTTTGTTTGAAGAACAAAAACTCAGTTAATGAAATTTGTCATTGAGTTTGATATGTCAAATAGTTGCCTTTAATTTTGTGGAACTTGCCTACTGTAGCTAATACAAAAAAAAAAAAAAAACAGATGTGGTAAATAATGAATGGAAATACAGCATTTTAGATCTCAAGTCAACTTTCTTTCATTAAGAAAAACAAAAGATAAATCCATTCTTCCCTCTTCAAGGAGATTTCTTGCTGTCTGACGTGTCAATAAAATTACTTGATTTGATTTTCAGAGATCCCTTAATTAGCCAACCCTTTCTTGCTAACTTTGGCCTTGACATCCAGGTTTCCAAATAAATAAATGCCACTCTCCCAGAAGTGAGCAAAGATGGACCTTGAAGGAATGCTGCTTTATCCTACAGCCTCCAAATTTAACTGTCCCAACAAGTCACACAAAGCAGTAGTTTTCATTGCTTTCTGCTTAGACAAAATTGAAATATTTACCATGAAATATCTGGATTCTAATATTTTACAGGATTCCACCTCGCCATCTTACAACCGTCAGAATGAACGGGTAAGCACTTCTTCATGTTACTGTGTTCTCTGCCCCAATGCTTTTAAGGACTGACAAATACTGGCCACTTCAATTACAGCTTGTGTGGAAGCTGATATGGCAGCTTTCAATGTAGGGTAGAAAGTCCTCAAGCTAAGGCACAGAGGGAATGAGACTATGGCTGAAGTGTTTGAGTACCGTGAAGAATCCTAACTGATGGCTAAAGTGTACTACTTGAATCTCTGACTCAAAATTACAAGCACAGTGACATGGAAGAGGTGAGGATAATACTGACAATGATAATTAGCAGTGACATATGGTGATTTACCAGAAATAAAGAATTTGATTCGTGGAAAAAAAAAAAAGCCTGAAAAACAGAAAACAACCCATGTCAAGGCAAAAAAAGCTTTGTTTGTGGAGCCATGCTTTTTGGCTTGGTGGTAAAGAAACTTGATTTAGGCTGAATAATATTTTGTTTTACTCTACACTATCTGCAGGTAGAATTTCATTTGGATATGTGATTTTTCTCCAGTCGATTATCTTTCATCAGGTTAGCACTTGCCTCAGAGGTATGTAGGGGCATGTGCTAGATTATGCGCAAATAATTTTTTGTTGTTTCTCTTTGAGAGAAATGGGGAATCTGGAGCAGCAGAGTAGAAAATAACTTTCATCATGATATTTACAAAGACATTGAAGTCTCCTTATTGTAGCTGGGTAGCAATAGATCAAGTGCTGTCAGGATTACAATGACATCATATTGTATAGTTATCAAGGAAAACAGAAGCTCTTAAAATACAAGAGTAACAAACAGTATGAGTTGGCAATTCAATGTTTCCTGAAGTGATAGCATGAGCCTTGAAATCTAGTAATTAAAGTATGCTGAAAGTCTTGCTAGTTGTCTTTACTCTTATCTTGCTATCTTGCTCCTGTTGAGAATCATGTTTTAATTTAAGAAATCCTACAGCAGATAACTCATGTCTTTGGCATTTTTTTACAGGAGTCATATTCTTCTGGAGCTAGTCAATATGGTGGACAAGTAAGCTCTTACTTTCAATATTTCTGTATGATATGTATTTTACCAATATTTTACTCTAATGGAGTAAAACATTATCAAGATAAATATCTCAGTTTAGTGTTGGGAAGGCCTTATAGTGATGTATTCTCTGTAGTGTACTAAAAGAAGACAAAATGCGAAGTTTATTCTGTGAAGATTACAAAAAAAACCCACAATGAAATAATAAAATACTGATATTTTTGCTTCTGATATCCATCAATCATCTATGCCATGTGAAACAGAAAAAAAAGATTTTTAATATTTTTCCAGGGATCACCATCTTATGGAAGCAGCCATTATGGTGGACAAGTAAGCATTAATAGTCCCCTTAAATATTTTTTACCTATGCATAACTTCAGTGCATTGATTGTCTACCCACCTGTCTACCTTAACCTAATGTAAGTTAGTCTTAAGTAAACCATTATTTTAGCATTGTGGTTGCTACCATGATTAAACAAAATAAGCTTAGATTAAGATATTTAAGATTAAGAAGGAATAGAGAGTAAATCATGTGGTTGACTCAGTTGGCTCCTGACACTTGCAGAACTAGGTCACAAAATTGTGTGTGAATACAGTTCCTTGGGGTAATGTGTCACATCTCTCTGGAATAAGTTAGTACTTCATAAGGCTGATGAAAAATGTTTAAAGCCTCACGATATGGATAAAAAGAAGTTTCAGTTTCTTTTTTGTTGATGTTCAGGGTTCACCTTACTCAGGAGGCAGCCAGTATGGAGGACAGGTGAGAAAAAATACAAAAACTGTGACGAGCCAGTAATTCCATTGTGTCACCTTAAATACACTTTTAGCCTTGTTCTACCTTCTGATTTACTCTCCTCATTCTAGAACCTACTTGTCTTCTGCTACTGTCGTGGTTCCTTAGGTCTCTAATAGTAAGGAGCGGCTCAAAGTGGGTTATATTTCTCCTCTACCTCAACCAATGAAATACCTCACTTCTCTCAGAGCTGAGAGAGAGCTGGCATCAGAGGAGTGATGTGCTTCAGGAAGGGAACAGAGGGGCAGGCTAAGTGTTGTTAAGGGAAGGTGGTCTATGCTCTTACAGGGTGAAAGAGGATTGAGAGGGATCCTAGTGTTGTCTTGTGGTGTAGCCTTTCTTATACAGCAAAATCCTCATCAAACTGGCACTTGGCTTCTGCAAATATTTCTTGTCAGATTTATTGGAAAGGGAATTAGAAGATAAAAAATTTTCAGCCAAGTAATTTCCCTCAAAATGCAGCTATGTATAGAATAATAACAGCTCATGGTCACCTGTGCTATCAGTGTTATAGAAGATTCATACATTACAGACAGACCCTAATTCACATAGGACCCAAAAAATAATATGATGATTGCTTTTCTATAATTTTTCATTGTACAACAGAGAAAGAAAGTAGCCTTTCTTTCAAAAATTCTCAAAGAGCCCTTTTGATAGAAATAATTGGTTTCTTTGTGTCAGGGTCCATATTCCTCAGGTGGCAGCCAGTATGGAGGACAGGTGAGAACTGTTTTTCCTACATGTGGATTGTTGTTCAGTTGTTCATCTTTCTCTCTTCTTTTCTGTGGAAAAACAAGGTCCTTCGTAAAGGCTTGGCTTAAAGCAAGGCACTGTTCATGCAGAACGCGTGAATGTGACACCTTCTGTGACAGCCCATGCGGGAAAATGAAACACACAAATCTGCCCTGAGCAGTGAGTCACTTGCATATGGGCCATGCACAGTTGCCTGAAGCTGCTTTAATTTACACTTTCTTGTCCTGATTTAAACTGCGTAGCAATTTTAAACAATAAGTCAATATTTTAAAATAGCTGTAAAGAAAGAATTCTTATTCCAGTGGTGTTCAAATCCATGGAGAACAAATAAAATTGCATTTTTCAATAACAGGCAATACATTTAAGAACATGCAATAAATACAAATGCTTTCCTGTTTCTTTATGGTATGGCTCCAACAGGAACTGTCTATTGCAGTGTAGCAGACAAGTTGAACATACCTTCATAGTATTTGCAATTTGGTAAGCAGTTCAATAAGAAAACTGACTGTTCTGTACTTTTTTTTGAGTGGGGAATTAAAACAACATTTTGAGACAAAGTAGCTTTAAGCCAAATTAAGTAAAGACTGTGAAGAATAGATCTGTGTGAAATGTCATGATATGAGAGAATGCTTTAGGGGTCTGCTTTGCTGTAGTAGAAATGCTTCCTTAAGCTGATTTGTTCAAATGATAATTTTTTATTATAATTTTTAAACAGAAGTGATTTAAAAGATGAAGGACCAGTTACGATAAGTGAGAATGTTATTCAGTAACACAGAAATAATTTGTTTCTTTTTTTTTTTTAAATTCCAGGGCTCACCTTCAAGAGGCAGCCAATCTGGTGGACAGGTATGCTTTATGTTCTCAACACCATTCAGCCCTGCTAGTATTACAGGCACTCTCACTTTAGCTTCTGTAGCTTTGCTTCACAAGAAGTGCTTTTCCTCACCGCTGTCCTTCTTGCCCACAGCCTAAGTAGCATGCTGTTCTCCTCTGACGTGTCACTCAGAGATCCCAGAGGCTCAGAGTCTGAATGTCTGAATGTCAGTTGTCTTTACCTTCATACCCTCTTCATCCATGTTGCATTTGAGACACCGAATGGCAAACCTCAGCCATGTCTTATTTTTATCAGATTAGAAAGCGTCTTGCAGGCCTCCACTGAAAGTAATCCTTAGTGTTTTCCATAACATCTGTAGCATGTATGAGTTCTGCATGTATTCCAGCTACTTCAGCTTCTTTTAGGGGAGGGAAACAACCAATTATTTTTCTGTAGCGCTGCTCAGAATTTTTTTACTCACAATTTTGGTGTGATTTTTATTATAAACTTAAACAACAACTTGGAGTAAATTAAAACAAACAAACAAAAAACCATCAATCAGCAAGCGCACAGTTTGCCTGAAGGGACAACAGACAGAAAAAGAGGCTAATTTTCAGGGGGTGTAGTGTGAGTCTGTTTTAAGTTAATTTTCTTGCAATAGCAAAATAAATGTTTGACTTAATTCAGAATCTTCTTACGTTCATATAATTTCTAGAAAATAAGTTTGTTTGTTTTGTGTGTAATACAGGGTGGATGTCATTGTCCTGGTGGGAGCCCGGTAAGTATTCTTTGTCTTTCTATAACTTTCTGAGTAATGTGTAACTAGGAAGTTCCCAAGGAACTACCTTTCTTCAATTAACTTTTTCCAGGAATTTATGCAAGTGCAACCTGTTTAAAAAATTAGAGTTATTGTCATGTTTCTGTTCACTTAGTACTTGGAAGTTGGACTAGATGGCTTTCAGAGATCCCTTCCAACTCAAAGGATGCTATGATTCTATATTTGCCATACTTCTGTAAATATTAAAAAATAAAACAACACACCTGCTTTGTTGAAATTTAAGCTGACCATGATTCAGTTATCTTTTGTCAAAATTTATTCCCTTTCTCACATTATGAAATCAAACAAGAACATGCCATGATTATACCGAGTATTAGAATTGTTGAAAACAGTGCATAAACTGTCAGCTTATTTCTTTTTGCAAGCAATATGAAAGAATAAGGACTAGCTGAAATGAAATCCTTTACTTGTTTGATCAGCAAAGTAGAAAAGTATGCTAGTAAGCAGTGCAAATAACTTCCTCGGTATGCTAGGTCAAGATGTTCTCCTATGGTTTTACTCTACCTGAAACTGAATTTTTAATGAAGTAACTATTGCTGTTTTTCATGAAATAAAGGGCTCTTTTGGAGGAAGCAACTACCATGGTGGACAGGTAAGTAAGCATTTTTGTTTGTTTGTTTCACACTGGTACAGATTAGATAAGTAAGTGTGGGTCAGTTTTGCAACGTTTGCCCAGAAGCAATTGAATACTGAGCTTAGTCACAGAAATAGGAACAGTGCTTTCCATAAAGTGTATCTGGCTTTTTATTAAATCAGTCCCTTTACATTTCTGTTATATTTTTTTATAAATATCTGTTGACTTGATTGAAAACAAAATTTTAGTAGTAGGCAAAACTGTAGTTTTAGAAGCCTGCTTACTTTGAAAAAGTAATTGAAATAATATTTCACAGGGTTCATCTCTTTGCATAAACCATTAATATGGTGTGTTGATTAAAGAGCTATTTGCCCCTCCGTTAATGACTATGTAATGTTCTTCTGGTTAATTGGTGCTGTAAATGTTTGTTAGATTAGGTTTAACTTTTTGGTGCCAGGTAGTATTAAAAAGAAAAGAAAAAAAAAAAGCCTAACAAAAGGTGTGAGTTTCACATTTCTTTTACAGGGTTCTTCTTATTCTGGAAGCAGTCAGTATGGAGGACAGGCAAGCAACTCCTCTTTCAAAATGTTCTTCCTACCTGTTACTTATTAAATGAAAAATATTATGCTGTGCATTTAACTGCCAGAAAGTTTTTCAGTCAGTCATTTTATGCTCACTAGGTGTCTGAAAGCAGGGACTGTTAGTAACAAACATGAAATAGTGCTGATAAGCTTTAATGAAAAGTAACTCTATAGATTGCAATTTCAGTTGTTTAATTCTGGAGTGCTACTTTAAGTGATAATTTAAATATCCATTTTCATGTTTCATTTTCACATGGCTATAGCACCAAATTCAAAAGCTATTTTCTGTGTTATTTTTCAATTGTATTAATTGGTAGTAATTTTTGCATTTGTTTAGATTTAATACACAGAAATATGATGCAAAACAGACCAATATATGTTGCTTTAAAAATAGAAATTTGTGTGTGTTCCCCATAATAATAATACTTTGCTCATCTTCAGCTGCAATTCAAATCTCTTACTGTAAGCATCTCCTTATATATCTTTTGTGGCTTAGTAGTTTGTCACAGAATGAGAAGTTTTACTGCCCCAAATAGGCATCCATTATATTTGTTAGCTACCTAATAAGAAATTGGAATATATTTTCCATTGATGCTACTGTGATTCCAAAGTTTCATCCAATGATACTAAAAAATAGTCCAATTTCATTTTTCTTCTTCATTGCTTATTTGAAATAATTAGGAAAAAAATCCACACAAAGATCTCTGAGTGCACACCTCACCCAGGAGAGATTCACAGATAAAATAGAATTTCTCTTCCCTTGCGAAGAACCATGCAGAAGGATGCTTTATGTCCAGATATTTCTCAAAGACTAGTCTTAGCAGATCTTTGTGATTGCCAAATGTACTACTTTCAGCTGTTCAGCAATATAGAAGAATTATGTCAGAAGTGATTCATTGCATCTTCTTAGATTAATACACTTTCCACATTCCTGCTGTTATCCCAGTCACAAGGTCTTTCTGTGATGTTTCATTCTATGCAGCAGAAAAGAGTAACCATTGTTATTCTGCAAATACTTAAGTTTCCTCTGGTTTTGTGGTTTTTTTTTCTTCTCTTCTTAATAGGGATCTTCTTACTCAGGAAGCAGCCAGTATGGTGGGCAGGTAAGTGAATTCTCTTCCCATCACTCCTAATGCTTTTTGTTTACCGTCTGAGTCAGTTATTTGATGCTGAAATCTGTATTCGTTTTCCTGAGCCTTTGAGGTAAATGGATATAAAAAATTTGATTAAAGTAGTTTAAGCAAGTTGAATAAAGTAATTGGTTAGAATCAATTGATTGCTCCTCTGTGTAAAGCATTTCTTTCAAGCAGTGTTTCAAAACACTGCTTTCTTGATTCAGAATTATATATTGCAGTTGTTTTGATGTGTAGTGGAGAGCTGTTGCTTTAAGTATCCCAATTACATTTTGTTCAAACAGCAGTCAAATTAGTTTGTGCTAAGTATGGCACACGTCTGAATGGCCTGAAGATGGTGATTAAATGTTTTGGATTCTAATAAAAGGTGTTTTATTTTTTTCTTACAGGGCTCATCATATTCTGGAGGCCGACAACATGGTAAACCAGTAAGTAAAAACTTGTCAAGTTTGCCTTATATTTTTCTCATAAGAAAAGTATTTAGTCATCATTTTACTCTGTAAGTGGACTTCTTCTGTCATTCTCTAAATTTCTTTTTTAGTAATTACAGAATGAGATCTTTAGTTTTAATAAGACACTTCTTCAGAACAGTTATTTCTGTTTAAATTCAGCAATCTTTGAATTCATTCAGTAAACTTTGTGTTCACTTCTTCAATTATTTCATATGCATTTGTCTTTGTAAGTATTCCTGCCTTTCTTGGAGAAAAGTATTTTCTTTTTGAAGGTCATAATAGTTGCTACTTTATTACATGTATATTCATATTTTCATTTTAAGCTTTTCAACCACTTAATTTAGATCTTGTCGTTGTGTAGTGGGAGATGCAAAGAGTTAGCTTTTCTTATAGAAAGTAAGATACATCCACCTGTTGGTTAACAAGGGGACACAACAGCTCCATTTTATTCCACCTGAATCACAAAGGGGAGACATTTTGTGTACCATATGAGATGGCATTTCTTACAAGTCAGTGGTTGTGAGATTTTTTGTTGGCAGTTTTATTCAAATAAGCAGAACTGCTTCACCAGAAAACTTGTTAAGACCCTTGCAGAATATCTAGCTTTTCAGTATTCACTTTTTTTTTCCAGTTAGATTCCTTCTTGAAGCTTTCTTTAAGCAGAAGAGTCTAGGCGGACTGCCAGTGTTCTGGGATATTTGTAAACTTTGAGCACTACTATCTTGCTTCTGTAAAGAGAGAAAAAAAAAATGTTTTCTCTTCTAAAACTGCCTTTCAAGGGTCTGCATGAGAACTGGAGCACAATGCTAATGTTAAATGCCTGAGAAAACCAGATAATAAATTAAAATTGGAAAATATTGTTTAATCTTGAACCTTAGGATGAAGATGTTTTCATTCTTCCCTCTAGCAAAGATATCTCTGTACTTGTTTGAATAAATTTGATTGGATAATTTTATTACAAATGATATATTTCAATATTAGGGTAACTATTTCAGTTTCAAATTGTGTAGTTCAGCCAGAATTATGCATTGCTTTGCAAATCATCTGAAACTGCTAATAGAATTAAAAAAAGGGTAGCTGTACTGATATGATACCATTCACTTAAAAAAAGCTGCAAGGAAAAATGTAAAATGAAAATCAGTTTCAAAACTAGGGCATTTTCAAGGCTAATGTGTGTTCTTCAAACACAGCTCATGAGGAGTCTATTACAATAGAACTAAATGGCTTATTATTATTACTTTACAGGGATTCTCAGGAAGCACTTATTCTGGAAAGCAGGTAAGAAAGCTTTCATCACAGCGTTTTGTTATTTTCTTGGTAAACAAAGAACCTAATAGATAGATGGTTCATAGAGCAATTTATGAGTGCTTTGGTATGCAGATAACATTGTATATTAGCTCCTTCTGTATTAAACAATATTTAAACAAGCTGCTGTGAAAAATATGGCCTTAACTTGGGAAAACTATTTGAGTATCTGTTATATTCTCAGTCTGAATCTGTCTTGCTTTACGTTGTGATTTGTGGCCCCATTACATTTTGCTGGCCTCCAATTTTAAATTCCTGTTCTCTAAGTAGATTTTGTAGGCCCTGCTCTGTTAATCCTTCACTGTTGTTTTTATTTTATTTTTTTAATAAACCAGATTCTTGAGTCTTGCAATGACATTCCACTTATTCCTCCCCCGCACTTTTTAATTTCAAGTATAAGACAGGATGAAGAGAATGTGTAACTACAGTGTGTACTTTACCTGTCTAAACCTACTGCCTTCTTAAACAGCTTAAACTATGCTCTGGGTTAAGTTGTTCGAATTTTATTGATTATGGACAAAACTATGTCTTCAGAAACACAGAGTGGTAATGCTTCTAGATTTCCTTACTTGTTATTTGTTTGTTTGCAGCAACCACCTTCCTCAGGGGGTAGTCAAGTGGTAAGCTTTTTCTGCTGGTGTCTTCATACTTGTATTGTAGAAAAATTAAAGTATTGTTTATATTTGTGAAGTATCTGTCAAATTTCCTGTATGTGAATAAGTATTTTAGAATATGTGAGCATGTGGGAGGGCTGCTCCAAAAGTAGTGCCTCCTATTTAATTATGTTGGCCCTTGATGTTGGAGGCAGTGTTGCTGGTATGGCAGTAGAGGGTTGAACCTTCCCAAAAATATTCTGTCACATTTTATTGCCATGTTACAGATGGCAGCAGAGGGACAGCCTGACAGAATGGTGTCTGCCATGGAAGTACATAGGAAACAAAAGTGAATGTCTCCATGAGGAAAAAATGGCACACACAAACAATTGTTGACACTTGCTGAACATTCATGGAGACTTTTATTGTTGACTTTTATTGTCAGAAGTATCTACATAATAGAAGGGTGTAACAAGTAAAAGATTTTTTTTAAAACCAACTTGTTTTTAGTAATAGTAATGAGTAGATTTGTTTTGAATTTGGCTTATCATGCTTGTTCTCTGCTTTTATAGAGCTCTGCTGGGAAACACTCCAGTCCCCAACTCCTGCTGTTGTTTAGCATTTTGAGTGCCTTCGCACTCTCTGCTGTAACATCAAAGTGGTCTATGTGAACATCAGAAGATGTGCTCGACATCCTGGACGTGGATTATATGCAGTAATATTAGATTAATTACTTAATGTCAGGGAAAAAAAAAACACAAAAACACCATGCAGTCAAACTGTCAGATGTTACTTGGGCTATCATGTTCCATGTCTGGTTACTATGTCATATCTTTCATTAGTTTCTTTGGGTTTAGTCATTAGTAGATATCATTACTTTTGTCAGTGTTCTAAGCACCATTTTAAGAGAGCGTATTGTACCCTAGCTATATGATTTCATTAAATTATTTTTATGTCCAGTGGAAAATGTGATGAACACCTACCTGAAAACTAATTGGTGTGAGAAACAGTTGTTTAGAAAATACTTGGTTAGTAACCAACACAGAATGTCAGACAAATGGTTTTATTTGCAAAACTTAATTTGAGCACTGTCACTGCCCCTTGCTGCATACAATAAAGATGACCTCTAACTTCTCGTGAGCAATCCTACGTGGGATGGCAAAAAGGATGCTAAAATAATATCATACTATCGGCTTTAGTGGAACGTAAACAAATGCATACCCACCATGGAGGTTGCACAGCAAAAAAAAAAAAGCCTCAATACGATCTTCACCATTTGGTTGACAGTTGTTTCTTTGGTCTACGCACTAACTTTCTTTTAATTTAAGCGTCCGCTCTGAACCGGCATTGCACTTCTTTAATAAACCGATGCTGGCTTTCACACGAACCCCCCGCGTCCCTCGCAGCTGCAGCGGCGCCCACGCAAAAGACCCTCGGCGGAAGCGCTCCCGTGCGTTTCGATCCGCGTTGCTAGGTGGCCACTGCGCTGGCGGCGGGCCACGAAGGGCGGCTGCGGCGCTGCTCCCGCCCTGCGCGCGGGCTTTGCCCTCCCGCGCTCCGCTGGAGCGGCTCGGGGCCGGGTGGGAGGCACGCCGCGGCCCTGGGAACGGAGCGGGCGGGGCCACGGCTGCAGCCGGAGCCTTTGCGGGACGGCACCCGGAAACGCCCGGTGGCTGCGGCGAGCCGGGCCGGCGGTGAGGGGCGAGCTGGGAGCCGGCTGGGCCGCGGGTGGGAGGTTCGGTCAGGGAACGGCGGCGGAAGCCCGGCCGGGCCGACTTGCGCGGGTCTGGGGGCAGAGGCCTGAGGGAGGCCTGGGGTGTGTGGAAGCGGGAGGCGTCTGGGCCGGGGGGTGAATGGAAAGCGGGCTATTGGGAGGGCTGGGGCCGGACGGGGCGAGAGAGGGGAACAGCGGGACTGGAGGGGGAGACCGAGAGGTGTCAGTGAGCGGCATGGCCTGGGCGGGAGGGCGGGAGCAGGAAGGTGGGGCTGTGTGGAGGCAGCTGGCCGCGGGGCGGGGCGGCTCACCTGCCCGGCTCCTTGCGGTGCGGCGGGGCAGGAGAGCTGCGCACTCAGGTGTGTGCGTGGCATCGCGCTGGGAGTTTGACTTGAGAAGGGCTCCAGCGGTACAAAGCTCAGGGCTCAATTAAAAAAAAAAAGACAAACCCTAAAATGCTAAAGTAATGAATGAGATATGTGTTATGAAATAGAATGGAAGGTGGAAGATAAACCCCAAAAGGTACTAACTGCAAGTTGTGTCGTGTTTTAGTGAATTCTGTAAAGTATGTTGTAAGTGTGACAAACAGTTGGAAGCCAGAGCAGAGTTTTGCAAACTGATTTGGTAGAATTCTAGAGATTGAAGCTGCTTTCTACAGTGGAGGGCTGTGTTATCTGAGGTGTAAGCAGTGTATGCAACAAACTTCTACAAAGGAGCACCAGAGTGGGAAGCTGGGCTGGTACAGTGCCTCTGTGTAGAAGGATTGGGATCAAAGGTAACCCTTACTTCTCAGAGAACTGCTGTGCAGGCTGATAGAGTGGGCTTGGGAACAAACAGTCAATTGATAGACTGCTTCATCTAAAATCCATGGGGCTGCCCTTCTTCACAGGCACTGCACGTTGCTGTTGGCATGTGCTGCAGTGCCTGTGGGCCTCACCTATTCAATTGTTCCCAGCAGAGGACTCCATAAAAGCTGTAGCTGTGTAGACATCTGCTGGAGCAGCCTGGCCTGATGGCTTCTACAGGGCTTGGTTGTAGCTCAATAATACGCACTTTTCTTTTGCATAGGAATAAGCAGCACCATATAATTTTTACAGGCTGTAGCGTGAGTATTAAGCACAGGATAGCTGTTGATAAACTGATTTGCAATAATCTGTTCCTTCAGAAAACTGTAATTTTTTGTTCCATTACGTATTGTTAGGCATTATATGAACTTGTGGTAAGAGTTACAGTTCTGGGAGACATGGATTTGCTGGTTTTGGGTGCATGGTGTTCAGATGCATGGAAGCAGAATGTGCAGTGAAAATGCAGGTTTGAGAACAGACTGTGGTAGTAGCAAGTATAAATTTGATTTATTTAGAGCAATGTATTGTTTGAAGCTGCTCTATGTCCATTACAGGCTGCCTGTATGGCCTAATTCCTTGTCTTGGTTATCACACAATCACAAAGGTTGGAGGTGTGGGACCTCTGGGGTCATCGAGTCCAACCCTCTGCTGAAGCAAGAGGGTACTGTACTCCCTACAGTAGGTTGCATAGGAAGGTGCCCAGGTGGGTTTTGAATATCTCCAGAAAAGGAGACTCCTCTGTCATTCAAAGTAAAGAAGCTTTTCCTCATGTTTATATGGAACTTCTTGTGTTCCAGTTTGTGCTTGTTGCCCCTAGTTCTGTTGCTTGGCACCACTGAAAAGAGCCTGGCCCTATCCACCTGGAAACCCACCCTGTAGATATTTACAAGCATTGGTAAGATCTCCCCTTGATCTTCCTTTCCAGGCTGAACAGCCCCAGGTCTCTCAGCCTTTCCTCATGCTTGAGACACTCCAGGCTCCTAATCAGCTACCTCGGTGAATGAAATCACTTGTCTGCTTAAAATAGTTTAGGTTTTGGCTTTGTTAAATGAGGACAATGCTTTCTTGATCTTTGGGACGGGTTTGCTTGATGTATCTTCTTCTCTCTTATTGTTCTTCAACTGCTTGCCACCATGGCTTATTCTTCATCAGTTACCTCAGTTTGTGCCTGTATGTGTGGTGTTTCCCACGGGCTCAGTGCCCCAACTGGAGCTCAGGGATCTGCACAGTTAGCTTGGGGGGAGGGGGATTCTTAAGACGTGTACCTCTTAGGAACCAGCTTAAGAATGTAAGATGGACAAGAGATTGGAGTTTTTCCGTTTGAAAATTTCTACCTTCTTGTCTTCTGCTCAGACCCTTTCTGTTCACTGTTTAGCTGTCTAAACTTATTTGTAATGACTGGCTTTCTGCAAGAACTCTACAGACCTTTTTTCACTCTGTACTCAAGCTATGTGGCTGTGTCTGGGGGTGGCTGCATTGCCTGTAGCACACAAAATCACAGATCACAGAATCATAGGATGGTTTGGGTTGAAAAGAACAATCATGATCACATAGTTTCAACCCCCTTGCTGTGTGCAAGGTCATCAGCCTCTAGACCAGGCTGCCCAGAGCCACATCCAGCCTGGCCTTGAATGCCCCCAGGGATGGGGCATCCACAACCTCCTTGGGCAGCCTGTTCCAGTGTGTCACCACCCTCTGTGTGAAAAACTTTCTCCTAATATCTAACCTAAACCTCCCTTGTCTTAGTTTAAAACCATTCCCCCTTGTCCTATCACTATCCTCCCTCGTAAACAGCCTTTCCCCCTCCAGTTTAGATGCTCCTTTCAATTTAGGGAGGCCACAGTGAGGTCTTCCTGGATCCTTCTCTTCTCCAAGCTAAACAATCCCAGTTCTCTCACCCTTTCCTCATAAGAGAGGTGCTCCAGCCCTCTGACCATCTTAGTGGTCCTCCTCTGGACCTGCTCCAAGAGCTCCATGTCTTTCCTGTACTGGGGGCCCCAGGCCTGGACACACTACTGCAGATGGGGCCTCACAAGAGCAGAGTAGAGGGGGACAATCACCTCCCTCTCCCTGCTGGCCACCCCTTTTTAAATGCAGCCCAGAACACAGTTGGCTTTGCGGGCTGCAAGCGCACACTGCTGGCTCATGTCCAGCTTCTTGTCCACCGGGACCCCTAAGTCCTTCTCTGCAGGCTGCTCTCAGGGGGTTCTTCTCCCAGTTTGTGTAAATACCAGGAATTGTCCCAAACCTGGTTAGTGGTTCAGAAATAGCTGAACTGTGAGCTGCAGTTGAACCCCAGCAGTACTAGGCACTCACTCTCAGCACCTCACATTGAGCCATGCCACTGCCTTGGAGCGTCTGCAGGAGCTGCAGCAGAGCAGCGCCTGGCTCATCTCAGCCTGATGCTGTACTCCTGTGCTTGCAGAAGAATCAGGACTTGAGCTAAAACCCAGAACTGAATGGCTTCTTGCACACTACCTGGATCTTTCCATACTGTGATCTGTACAATGAATGCAGTGTGTGTACTGTTTGAAAAAGAGAGGCAGGTTGTATCAAATTTCTGCGCTGGCAGGCAGGCGCTGACGCAATAGCCTAAGTCAATATAAAACTATTGCTCTACTGTGCACATATAAGAACTCATTTCTCTTATAGGCAGTACTGATGTCAGGTTTAGTTCAGTGAGGGCCTGCATTTTTGGAGCACTGAATATTTATGCTCAGTATGTGATTTATTTAACACTCATCTAATTAAATTCTCGTCAATCCAAGTAAATCTTATGTCTGGGTGCTTAGCTTTGCTGTGAAGGATGAAGTTTGTGTTGGTTGGAGTTCGTGTTAGCTTTGTTGTTGTTTTTCTGGCAGATACAGAGGGGTTAAAGAGTATTTAGCCACAGTGAAGATTTTTATTACATTTAAGATTCATAATTCCCAACTTTGCTTTTTTATACATAGATTAGAATTGTAACTTTTTTTCCATACAAAAATAAAACAAAAATTCTTCTGTAGGGCATCCAAAAAAAATAATCAGCATTTCAGTACAAATTGAAGAAAACTTGACCTGAGTCCCAAATAAGTTGAAGCACTATCTGGAAACAGGTGTTAGTTAATATGTAATTGCATCTTTCTTGTTGGACTTGGCAATGTCAGTTTTCTGTCGGTGAATCACTGGTACAGCTTTCCAGGGTCCTTTGCCCCTGACCTTAACCAAAGTTAAGAAGAAATCGCTGGTTGGTCTTCGGCAGTTACATTTTAATGTGTAACCCATCTGCTCTTGCTGATGTTAAAAGGTCTCAGTGTGGTTGTTGAAAGCCAGGGTTCAGAGTTCTGTCAGTGTTCTGCTGTGTCATACTTGACGTATTCTTCTCATCAAATATTATTTGAATACAGGAATACTTTTTTATTTTCACAAGATTCCTTTAAATGTAAATTGAGAAATTGAAAACACTACTGTATGAAACCTTCCTTTGAGAGAGAGAAGAAAGAAAACAACAAGATTGTTACTTTCTGCTAGAAAAGACAGGAGAAAACTGCGCTGGTGCATTTAGTTTTTGTAACGCCTAAAAAGAAAAATAGTACACATTGTAAGCTATCAAGCAAGGAGAATGAGTAACAAACTGAAACGCAAGAGAAAGAGCAGGGTAAGTATTAAAATGAGGTGTTTTGCAGTGGTTTAGTTGAAAAGTGGTATGCGTGTGGGAAGGGAGCTGACAGTTACAGTTTACTTATGGGGGGAACAGTAGAGAAACCCATACCTGGTGTGAGGAAGATGGAAAACGGTGTCAAAAAGTGAGAGGGTGTGGGGTTCATACAAAGCTTTACAGCGTTATTAATTTTAATGGAACGTTGACTGATGTGTGAAGGATTTATGTATTTGGAGCAAAAGGGAAAATAGAAGTGCATTGTTGAATGATAGAGGTTAAATATTTGTGTGTGTGAAATCCTGTTCAGAAACCAGTTGAGCAGCACTCAGCAGATTCTGAATGGTCTTTGCACCCTCTGCTTCATCTAGGATATTTATTTCCATACATAAAATATTTGTTGCAGAAGCTGTAGATGTAGATGTAAAGAAGATCATGTTGGCTTCTGAAAAAAAGATGTATGAGAGTAGAATTTCCCTCTGAGAAGTACAGCTGTGTTATAGAAAGCTGCACTTTACATGTGTTGTCAGCACTGACAAGAAGGCACTGCACTACTAAAGCATAGAAGGCAGAGTTGCAGGGGGAAAACAAAACAACAACAACAAAAAAATGCCCATATTTTCTTCAGGTTTTGTGAGGTGGCTCTTACCCCACCTTCCTCTTGTGCTTTTCCTCTTTGTTGACATCTTATTACATTTGTGTGGGAGTAGTATTGGTATTGGGTTCAAATTTCTTCTGGGAATGCAGTCCAGTTTCTTTAATCTGCTATCCTGATTTCAGAGAATGTGCCAGAATGTGTCCATGCCTGTTTCACCAGGGCGAGCTCATGGACTCTGCGCTGAGTCTGCCTTACAGAAGGAAGGGTCGGCGGTTGCTTTCTGGCAGGTCCTAGGCGTGGAACTTGTGCAGTGGCACACACAACTTCATGAGCTTCTGCATTTTTAAGAGTCTGGTTGTCTCATTCTGCTCAGCATTCTATTGTATTGTAAATGAAGTGCCAGTGCTGTTTGTTTGGTTAGGCAACCTTAAACTCACTCATAGTAAAGTGGAATAAGAGCAAACCATAGCAGTAACTTCTGTGCCGAGGGAACCTCAGCATGAAAATAAATGCTTTACAGGTGGGCTGGGAAGAATGCAGTCTGTGTAGTGCCGTCACTGAGAACATGGGAAGCATAAGAATCCATAGGATTTTTTGTGTGTGTTTATTTTCAGATTTAACTTGCCTGGTGTAAGGGTAGGGAGGAGTCAAGAACTAGCTGCTGGTAGAAACTATGAGATATAGTAGTATATATATTATAGATATATTAGTATATACTTTTGAAGTTCCAGAAATGCAGTGAAAATTAAATTTAATGAAGTTAATTAAAAGTGAGCCAGGTATGGTGACTGCTTTCTAGTATTTCAGGTAGTTCATGAAATAGAATGTGGAACATTAGATAACTTGGGACACTGAGAGAACTTTGATGATAGAAAAATAGAACCTGAAGTGTGAAATGTTAGCCTGTTGTGGAAAGTTACTGAAGGAAATAGAAACCTGCAAATCAGAAATTCATTCATTCTGTCTGAATTAATGGTACGAAGTAGAAACTGCTGATTTTTCACTTTAAAAAAATCTGCTTCCTTTTAAAAGACATTTTTAAAGCTTCATGCAGTGTGATCTTTTTATGAGCTGAATAGTTACAGTACCAATTTTTGTTAAATCATTTGCTCGTGCTGTAAATCCTTTTCTTGGTCTTTTTGTTAAATCATTTGCTCGTGCTGTAAATCCTTTTCCTGGTCTTTTTGTTAAATCATTTGCTCGTGCTGTAAATCCTTTTCCTGGTCTTTCCCCCTTACATTTGAGAGGAGAACAGCTCTTTGTGGAGCATCCTTCTGCACTCTGCCTCTGCACACTGGTGCAGAGCACAGCACCCACAGTGACTTGCCACACAGGCTGCCCTTGGCCTCTTCCCTTGTGTTCCACGTTGCTGTAGGGTGCGTCTCAAGGCATACCAATTAAACTACATAGAAGCAGTTCCTTTTTTCTTTTACCTGGACTAATAAACGGAAGATAAGGAACCCAGTAAGGCCTGAGAAATACTGTGACAGCTGGACTCCCAGCCTTTGAACTAGCAGGTGTAAATTGATTTTGTGGCCTGCAGAGCGCTGGGTAGTTTGTCCAAAGGCAGGTAAGCAATCAGTCAGGAGGAGTGACTGTGTACAAGCAGTGTGCTGGGAACTTTCATCTCGTTATTGATTTAAGACTGTCAGGGTGTGGACTGTTACTGAAGACAGTGTTTAACTCAGTTTATGACTGCACAGTCTGTTGCAATAAGGGTGGCAGGAGCTGGGTGAGTGTCTCACCTGCTAGCGATGTGTGAATCCAGCCCTGCTGTGGGCTGTTACAAAGTTCAGCTGTGTCAGGTTCAGTACTTGGCTCCTCTTTGGGATCCAGTCCCCAGCTTGCACCAAGTTCTGTGAGCTAATATACAACTGTTATAAAAGAAGAGAGACAAGGATTGATGATAAGGTATTGTGTGTGCTCAGCAGAGGGCGGTAATTTTATTGGTGTGCGTAGGTTTCAGAAGTATGCAGTTCCTGCTTTGTGGAGCAATTAGTTTAGTTCCACATGAAACTGCTTGTTCTCTGCTAACGTGTCATGCTGACCACTGAGAAGAGAGCTTGTAATCTATGTTCATCTATGAAGCTGGACTCTTGATTTGCTTTGGTGAATTGTTGAAAAGGAATGTGTTCTGCTGCTGGTGCTTTTTAGAAATATGTTGTCTGGCTTCAGAATGCAGCCCGGTGAATAGGACAAAGTGGATTTGTGGCTGTGTTGCTGGATTTGTGGCTGTGTTGCTGGAAGCAAGATTAAATTGATAGTGTTACTGTGGGAGAAGTTCCTTTTTTTTTTTTTTTTTTTTTTTTAAATCATGATTACTGATCAAGAAAATACTATAGTTCCAGATGATGATTTGGTACGTGTTCCTAACGGTGGGTCTGTTACACTGCTGTGCATGTTATGTTTCCGTACTGAATGTTTTGATAATTGCTCATGAGCAATGTAATGGTGATACACCTTCACACTGTAAGCATAAATAGATGGTTGTATGACAAGAAGTGCATGTGTCAGTTTTTATTCTTGTGACCTATTTCAGTTAAGTTACTGAACTCTGAGTGCTGAGAAAGTCCTAAAATATTTTGTCACCTTACAGGCTCACAAAATGCAAATATTTTAGTCTTAGTTCAGCAAATATGTTCCCATTATCTGTATTTTGTTCAGAAGCATTTTGAAAAGTGAAAAGAAACATCTGTAAGTGTGCTTTTATGAGACTTTGTGTTAATCATCACTGTGTGTTCTTTCTGTATCCAGATTGTCAGGTCTCAATACTAAAAAATAGAGTAGATGGGATGACTGGAAGAAATGGTGTGTTGGCATCTAAATGCTCATTTTGCTGTCAGCTTTCTCCTGTAGCACAGGTGGACCTTTGTATGAAGTTCTGTTGTGTCTTTTCTCTTGGTGGATTTTTTTTCCCTTTTCTACCTCTGTGTTCCCTGTTCTGTTGGCATTTCTCCAGGGTGAGAGCTCTGACCTTTCATGTCCCTCTACATCTCTTCAGGGAAACTGTTTCTGTTTCTCATCCTTGTTTGCAGCTATAGCAAATACCTGCTCCAAACGTGTTTCTCTTTGACCAAAAGATCTCCTTCATTTGGTTCTTGGGTGTGCATAATTTCAGTTATCTTCATGTAAAGGGTTATTCCATCGGAACCCATTATTTGGAAAAAGTTAGCAAATAGTGAGTTTTGGCTGCAGTTTGTTTCTCTGTCATCCTGATACTTCTGTCTGATTTATACTGTCCTCTGCACTTACAGTATTTGTTTGTTCAGTGAGGTAAATGAAGTCATGGTTATTATAAAAGCATCTTCTGTTAAGCTTCCTTAAGGGAATTATTGTGTATTGCTTCATCTGTTTCTGCATCCAAGCATCTTTTTCTTTCTCCTTTGCTAGTAAGCTTTTACAAATGTTTTTGCAGCCGTACCATTTCTGAAGTAAACAATTTTGTTAGGATACGAGTGTGTATTTCACATCTCAGTGACTTGGCAGTTAGTAGTTGTTGGCAGGTTACTGCAGTGTCTCTGAAATACTGATGTTATACAGATATTCTTGTGACCTTGTATGCTTGGCTGGAGAAAATCCCCTGAAGCTTAGAGACAGGTTAGGGCAAGTCAGGAATATTTGAATGACACTTCTCTACAGATCTCTGAAAAAATCCTTGTTGAACTAGAGAAGTCGTGTCAGTGAGGAAATGCTTTGTTTTCAGCTGCAGAGTAGTTAGAGGTATGAGCACATGCTTCAGCAGTGGGTATAAAAGTGGGTAGTTAAGAGTCAAGCTCCGTGTACCTGTAGATGTGAAACATACATACACAGGGACAGCTCTGGCATAGGCATCCAATATGTGCTACGCACGTCAGCTTTGGGCTTCTGGAAATAAGAACTGCATGCAACATGTGGACTTGTTACTACTTCTCTTGAAATTACTGGTTTTCTTTTGCTTTGGCATTATAAAAACAGTGCTCGGTTTTCTGAATAAGTGGATAGGGAAGGCAGTAAGCTTTTTATGAAGAACATTTCTGTGTACGGGTTGTCTTTGTACTTAACATACATAAAGAACAGCAGAAAAAAATGATATAATGTTCTGAGTAGCAGTGGTAACATAGCCTTGTAACTTTGTCTCCAAAAGCAGCAATACTTCTTGCATTTACTTGGTGTTAATTGGCAGCAAAGTGCAAAGGAAACCCTGTCAGGACAGCCCTGACTCACTCTTATTCTGATGCTGTATTATCTGGCAAGGCAGAAATTGCAACCTGGAAAACTCTGGGGAGGTGGAAGAATGAGAAGCACTCTGTTCTGGGGATAGCTTCTTGCTGTGGGAATACTGGGCATCCTGCAGTATGGGGCTTTTTATTTTTTATTCTGAAGATATCTTCTGAGCCTTCCTCTGTGTAAAGAGATCTGTGATTGGATTAACTTTAAAGATTCATTTTGTGGAACCAGTATTTGGAAAGGTAACTATAAGTTAGTAGTCCTTATTTGACTGTTTTGTTTTTCACAGATGAGAAATTAAAAGGAATATTTCTATAGCTGCCACCTCGTCTAATGTCCAGATGTGCTTTCCCATATTTAATCATGTATTTAAAAACATTTTTGAAGTGATAATCTCCTTTTTCTCTTGAAATATCAGATGATATTGGTTGTTTACCTTTGCTGGAGGGGTCTGTGGCTAACTTAATATGCTGATTCCAAATGAAAATGTCTATCTGCAGTATTAAATTTTAAGCCTGATTTGTTGTTTGTTTACTTGTTTTCTATTTCAGGAAGAAAGTAATAAAGAAATGTCTACCAATTTAAAATACCTTTCCCTGGGCATCCTGGTTTTTCAGACCACAAGTTTAGTGTTGACAATGCGTTACTCTCGGACACTGAAAGAAGAAGGACCTCGTTACTTGTCCTCTACTGCAGTAGTTCTTGCTGAACTTCTGAAGATTCTGTCCTGTGTTCTACTGGTCTACAAAGACAGCAGTATGTACTCAGTTTTGCACCAAGTAATTTTCTTAATCAATATGCTGTATTGTAATGGGAACTGCAAGGCAGCCGTGTGAGTAGAGGCTGACAAAAAAAGCATTTTGCTTTCTCATTAAAGAGACAGCCTTGGGAAGACTGTAGTCATACTTCACTTTTCAACACACCAATAGAATATTGCGTCTGCTGAAGTGAGTTCTCTTTAAATAACTGCATACTAAGGTGCACGAGAATAAATTTTCTGCTAGCAGCTTGAAGCTGTTTTTTGCTCAGATATTTTAAGAAATTTATAAATAGAAGTAGGACAAAATGAAAAGCTGTGTGTCTGAAGCATGCATGTGTTGAAGCCTATAAATAAATCACGCAGATACAGGAGGGAAATAGCAATTTCATTAATACAAAAAGAAGTGCAGTTTTAAGCTCAAAAGAAAAATTTGGATTTACTTTCATTCTGTACATTTTATGCTGCATTTACCCAGTTCCTTGACATGTGCATTAGGTTTTCAGCAGTTTAAAAATAACACTGCGTATTCGTAAATGTTGATGATTCCGTAGGCTCCTGAACATCTGCACTGTAGGTGGTATCTTTAAGTTATCAGCTTCAAATATGACTATGAATAAGTTTTATTTTAACATCAATTGAATAATTCACAGAATCATAGAATATCCCAAGTTGAAAGGGACATACAAGGATCATCAAGTCCAACTCCTGGTTCCACACAGGACCACCCAAAAATCAGCTTGTATGTCTGAGTGCACTGTCCACATGCTTACTAAAACTCAGCAAGCTTAGTTTCACAGCCACTTCCCCAGGTAGCTTGTTCTAGTTCTGATATTCCAGACTACACCAAGACTTTTTTCAGGTTTATGAAAGACAATTATTCTGTAGTATTTTGGGTTTGTGATAGCAGTGATAGATATAGAAAGGGGGAAATTATTAGTGTTGGAGAACAGAACTTTGCTCTTTATTTTTTTCTTTTCTCCATTTAGTCTACAAGTCTATTTCTGTGTTTCTTTGGTAGAGTGCAATTTACGGACCCTGAACAGAGTGCTGCATGATGAAATTCTTAATAAGCCCATGGAAACTCTTAAACTTGCCATTCCTTCAGGAATTTACACTCTTCAGAATAACTTGCTCTATGTAGCATTGTCAAACCTAGATGCAGCCACATATCAGGTACTGTACATCTGGATTGCTCTGTAAGTTTCAAAAACCAAACATGAATTATGTGGTAATAAGTGCTTCTGGTTCTTTTAGGTTACATATCAACTGAAAATTCTTACCACAGCACTATTTTCCGTGTCCATGTTAAGCAAGAAATTGGGTATATACCAGTGGCTGTCGTTGGTAATTTTAATGACAGGAGTGGCATTTGTGCAGGTAAATAAATGCAGTGTGTGTTTACTCAAGGAACGTGCATTTGTATACTGATTGTACAGCTTCCTGATTGTGCAGCTTCCTGGTTGTATCAGCTGCACACTGGTACTGGAGTACAGCAGAAGCTACAAAGCCGCAACTGGCCATGGCTGGAGGACACCAAAATGGTTCAAAAGCAAGAGATAAGAGCTCTTCTTGAGTTCTCGTGCCTCTGGATTGGCCTGCAAATAGCAGTTATAAAAGTATTTGTAGTGCACTTCTGACATTAGTTTGGATTCTCAGATCTTCTCTGATGGCACAGTCCTGCTGCTCACCTTATGATGTATGGTTTCAGCATGACAAATTGACTTAAATTTTTTCAAGAGCAAAATCTTTTGTAAATGTATAGGAATTTGTAGTTTTTAGAGTGACTGTGGGATAAGAGATTAAGGGTTTTTAGCAGATTTTAGGGTATTCTAGAAATTTTTATTGTAAATCTTAAAGATGAAAAGAAAAACTAAGGATTAAATTTTATTGATTTTTTTCAATTTAATCACTAAAAATAAGAGCAAAACATGCTGGCAGAAATTAACAGATCTTCAGTATGTTTTTTCTGTTGCACTACATTTTATTCTCTTAGCATTAGATACTTTACAACATTTAGCTTGTTTTAGTTGTATGCAAAATCATGAACAGACTCACATACCTACGACAGTTTATCACATCTTAAAGGCATCTGGGCTAAGTGGTGTCCTGACTTGCACTTGTGTATAGAGGAGGTAACCAACTGACAGATGGCAAAAGTCAGTGACAGTGAATGACCAGATGAGTAGTGCTGGAATTCAGGGTTGGTGCTGGCTTATGCAACATGGCAGGTAAAATCCTAGGCCTGTTTAAGATGATGGATTTAATCCCAGGTGAGGCACAGCTGTGCTCCTTACAAGCATGTAGTAAGAAAAGTTGTGTCTTTGCAGTTCTTTAAAAGCATTGGTGATGCAAAATACAAAAGGTTGCATGATTGTCTGCATTTAGTAATTATTATTGTTGCTTAAAAAGATATCTTGCATTCTATAAATGCTCGTGACTTTATTCAAACTTATTGTTAAAATCACTGTTTTTACATCCAGTGGCCTTCAGACTCTCAAGCAACAGCTGCTAAGGAGCATTCAGCAGGATCTCAGTTTGTAGGCCTGATGGCAGTTCTTATAGCTTGCTTTTCTAGTGGATTTGCAGGCGTTTATTTTGAGAAAATTTTAAAGGAAACTAAGCAGTCTGTGTGGATAAGAAACATTCAGCTTGGTAAGTTTAATTTTAGTTATCTCTTAGAGCAGAAGTACTGCATTGTGATTTAAAATAAATTTGCGGGACTATGAAATATCAAAAATGTAGTGGTCTGCATAAATGTGCTTAATAAATGAGTAGTACACAAGAGAATTCTAGGAATTGCTTTCTGCTGTCAACCTAGTTCTTGATTTAACTTTTTTATAGTGTTTGTAAGTTTGCATGGAATCTGTCAATTGATTTTTAGTTAATATGCTCTAAAGAATATTGTCTTGTGCAGATTTTGCATGTTCTGTGTGTCTTTTGCATAGATTAATCAGATAAGTACATGTAGTATCCTTTCCTCCATATTTTTTCTTTTTTTTTTTTTTTTTTTTGGAAAGAGCAACATTAAACCTGGAACATTAAAATAAAATATGTTCTTAAATAAATGCTTTGAGACCTATTTTAAAACAGAATTTTTTTTTTATCTTGCCTGGATAGGCAGTTTTTAGAGGTTGGCAATTTTAATACAAGAAAAAAGCATGCATGTTTGTGAAAAAAGATGAGGTAATGAATTTATGATTATTTCAGTATGAAGATCAGTTTGTTTCAATTGTCTGAATAATCACCAAATAACTGTGTACGTATGTACAGACGTTCATCCTAACTTTTAATGTTCTTACCTAGTGTGCAGATATCAGTAAGGGAATACCTTCTCTTTCCAAAGTTGTTCTGTATCTTCTAGAGCTTAGATGTTAATGCAGCACAGTTAATTTCAAGAACACCTCAGTGTATCCTTCCTGTGAGTGCCACATAGCTGCTCACTTAAGGCACTATCATTCAGGAGCAAGTGAATCCTAAGCAAGAGCTTTGAAACAGAGCTTTACTCAAAACAACAAAAAAAAACTTACATCAAACCTAATTTTCATTTTCATATCCTTAGAGATTGTAGAAAAAACAGAAACAAAAGTTGGGTAGTTTTTTAAATATGTACCAGTACCTCATTATTTTACCTCTATTTTAGCTGATCAATCGGGGAAAAAAAAAGGGAAGTAATTAGTTTGTTGTGAATCAAATCTGAGCTTTTAATTACCTTTACAAAAAGAAGTATTTTGTGTCAAGCGGAAGGTGTAATTTCACTTAAAACATTGTCCTTCTTTTCAGATGAAAGGGAATGCAATGAAAATGGTGGTCAGCTGTTTACAGAATGGAGAGGAATAGAGCCTATTGTCTCCATCACTTTCATTCCTATAGGGATTACAGAAAATTTCCCTCCTAACAATAGAAAACCTAACAGTAGAAAACTCACTGAATTATAAACTTCTTGTGTTATCTCAGTTGCTTCTTTTGACATTACTAGTAAACTAAGTGAACTGATAAATCTCTTCATTCAGTAGAAAGCAATGAAAGATATGCATATGAAAAACTCCTAGTGGAGACAGACAGAACTTCTGATAAGTGTAGAAAATTGCTTTTTAAAAGAAATTACCTATCTGAACAGTGATTGCATTTGGATGTGATGCTGCAAGTAGCATTCCTATTTTAAAATCAGATGTGTGTAAGCAGTCTGAGGACAGGAAACCTGACTGCATGTTTTTCACCCGAAACTTATAAATGAATCTTGTACTTCCAGGATTCTTCGGCAGCATTTTTGGTCTGATGGGTGTATATATATATGATGGAGAGCAGCTGTCCAAAAATGGATTTTTTCAAGGATATAATAAACTTACTTGGATAGTTGTTATTCTACAGGTAAGATATATTATGTTTTGTCATTTGGAGATTTCCCTTCTGTAAATGGCCGGGGAAATTAATGAATGTAGGTGAAGCTACTGGGATGTCTATAGTCAAAAGTCTGATGTAGCACTGTTAGAAAATGCTTCTAAATAAAAACTTGGAAATTCAGAGCAGGTATATGATTGTTGTGCAACATGAAATTTTGTAAATTATTTCATTTGCAAAAATTATTTCATTTGCAATGCTTAAAAATATATACATATATATTAAATACATACTTTCTCCCACAGCTAAAAATGTATAGTACAAATGTTTTCTGCTAATTTTAATCATGTTTTAATAATGTATTTAATAGTATGATAACTTCTCTATTGGGGAATAAAGTGGATTATGTAACATAAAACAATTGTAACATTTCTAGACATAGACAGAGGCTTTTCCTAAAACACGACTGTTTTGTTAACGTAGATATTCTCAGTGGAATTACTGTGTTGCAAATCCAACCTTCAATATTTTTCAGGCACTTGGAGGCCTGGTGATTGCTGCTGTTATAAAATATGCAGACAACATTTTAAAGGGATTTGCAACTTCTCTCTCTATTATACTTTCAACGTTGATCTCCTATTTCTGGCTTCAGGATTTTGTCCCCACGGGGTAAGAATTATTTTTCACATGTACAGAAGAAAGCGGTGGTTGAAAACGTAATGCTTATCAGATATAACAGCAGCAATAAATAAATGAAAGGCAGCCTTACAAAATAGTTAGATTCAACTTCCACAGAAAATTTAGTTTCATAACATAACTAGTACTAAAATGTTGTACTATAGTTATCAAGATTAAGTTTTTTGTAAGATAGAGCTCCCACGGATAAGGAATAATTGAATCTCAAGTCTCAGCTTTTGACAGACCTCTCTCTTCCAGGCTCTATGTTCTTTTCTTTTCATCTGCTTTCCCTCAGTTTGTTAAGATTGTTCCTCTTTATATTGGATGACTGCCTTGCACTGTGTTTCGCTCTGCTCTTGGAACCAGTTTCTCCCTGGCTGTCCCTGAGTAAGAGCTGAGACAAAGCGATTACTCTTGTTCATTAGTTGTCTCCTAAATTGACATATCTTCTGCAAGTCACCTCACTGCAAGATGACTTATGACTGAACAACAGTAGTGATGATCATCTATTTATACTGCTCTTCATCTACTCTCTACACAGTCCCTACAGGGTATCGTTCCAGTCGTACGCAGAAAATTCTACTGCAGTGATTAGTAGGCACCCCAAAGCCCAAAACCAGGGTGGTTTTTTTTTTTTTTTTTTTAATTTTTTAATTTTGTTTTTAAACAATTCTCTATTAAAGACCTGACTAAGAAGGAGAGAAAAATGCTGTATGCTTCTAGGTGCAATACACCAAGTTTTGTGAACAGCGTTTTAGGAGCTGTGTTTCGTACAAAGATGCATTGTAGAGTGATTTTCTTCTTAAGGTATGGAGTGTAAAAGTAACATTCTAATTTTTAAATATATTAATAGGATTTTGCTTATAGTGAACATGAATTTATCACATATATACTACACATTCAAGGTATAAAAATATTTCTGATAAAAACCTTTTAACCAGAAGGAATATGCACAATGTAAGCACAAGTTTGTTTAAACTTTCAAAAAAGCTAGAGTTAACTGTTGGGGCTTAAAAATGGGACATGTCAGACTTAAATTCTAAATAGCCTCCTATTAAAATAAATGTGGAAAGTGGTATAAGAAGTTCTGTGTGCTCAAATAGAAATTAATAAGTAACTTAGCTGCCTCTGCAAATGGTGAAAATAGAAATTGCTGAATAACTAAATGAAGGAGAGCCAACTCACAGGATGTAAAATTTGAATCCATCCCATTTAATAAAGCTTAATCTTTAGTATTTTCTTATGCCAACTGAATTTATGTGAACTTCCTAGTTGTTCCTCTCACTTGAACAAGCATTTTTGGTTGGGATAATAGATATAAAATGCTGAAGTGCTTGAAGTTCCTGCAGTAGATCGTGTCTGAAGTAAGCAAACTGTATTCTCTGAAGTATTATCATGTACTGTACCACAGTCTTTTTAGTGTTCAGAAAACCAGGTTGTCAGCGAGGTTCTTTTCTTTAAGGTATACTGGTGGTAACTATTGAAACAATTTGAAAGGCCCCTTTGTGACAACACAGAGGGTGTCTTTATTATATTTTTCTTATAAAAATACTCTCATAGCTGCCAAAACTGAGTATAGACGGACTTGCAACTGGTTCTTGGGCAGCAGAAACTAGTTTTAACACAAGTTTGGATTTCAAAGCTATGTTTAGCTCCAAAGGCATGATGTGTATCAAATATTAAAAACAGCTGAGTGGCTACAGTACTTGCCCTTCTTTAGCTTCTGCTTGCATTTTGCATAGAGCTTTAGTCAAAAGGAATAGAAATGAAAGGTCAGTCTGATTACCTTTGACAGTTATTCCATGAAACTACGTTTAATTTTCAGAATGTCAGTATAATTATAGATTATTTTGCTTACCTGGATGCAGATAACAGATTTCAACTTTTTCCTGCATTCTTCCCCAAGAAATACGTGGACATTTTTCCATTATAAATGGGATGAATATAATTTATTCTTTCTATATTCCCACAGGTTTGATGTCCTTTCTTTGACTGTACTGCATACAATCACATTAACTAAAACCAGCTAACTTTTTTTTTTTTCTTCCATTCCTATTCTATTCAGTGTCTTTTTCTTCGGAGCCATCCTTGTAATAGCAGCTACTTTCCTATATGGTTATGATCCCAAACCCGCAGGAAATCCCATTAAGGCATAGCTGACTACTTCAACCTGCTTCTCAAGATCATACACTGGGGGCCTTGCTAAAAATGGCATGTGGAAGGTGCCATTGTGCACTGCAAGGGAAGGATTACTACCCTGAATCGAGTGAAGAAATTTTTATGAGTAGTTTTGAACAGCCAAACGGGTTACAGATGGATGATGATTCTGACTGGGACTGGTGGAAAAAAATGACAGGGGAAAGCCCAGTGCAACTTGCTAATAAAAACTTGAAGTGAACAAAAAGTTTCCAAGAAACTGCAATTGGGAATGTTTACAGCTTTGACCTGGGATTGCATCAAAAGAATTTACTGTATTGACTGCTGCACTCTGTCCTATGCACTCTTTGAAACAGCACACGACAACATTGTCAGATTGTATGTTTTTGCAATTTGACTATATTTAATGTTAGTACATGTTTTTAACTGTTTGTCTATTTACATGAAGTCGACTGAATGCACATCATAGTTCTAAAGGGACGGTTCTAATTAGGTATTCCTTATTAAAACTATGGAAATTGAAGTATGACTGAAAGACATTTTCACAATAACAAATATTTTTATATTTTAGAAGGCTGATTTAATAACAGAGATCTGTGTTCTGTTGCTTATATAAAGCTGTTGTAAGAATGTTAACATTCTCACCAGTACACAAAGGGAGAAACTGAGAATGAAAGCTGGAAATCTGTGTAGATACTCCAGCCATCGTGAGGATAACCTGTAGTGTTCCAGCAGATGCAATAACTCTGTGAGCACAGGACACAGTTTGCTGCAGTAATCTGGCACTATGAGGTGGGTTATAATGGAGTGCTTGCTGAGATGTTATGTTCACTGTTTTTTATTTTTATTGATCATAAATCAACTTATTGGTAGAACTTCTAAAGTAGAGTGTAGTGGGGTTTTTCGCTTTTTTTTGTTTGTTTGCTTCTTTTTTTTTCTTTCTGCTTTAAGTATCCCCTGAGGATGTTTCTTTACCTGCAATTAAAGAAAAAAAAAAAAAAAAGCCCATAATAAATATTTTAAATGCATTGTTGTTGTTTGTTGCAGCTCCAGATTGAGCTATTGTGGTGTATTATCTGTGTACTGTACTGTATTTTATGAGAGGCTTTTTTTTTTTTTTTAACAATTGTTGTTTACTTATGAACTCTCAAAGTCTGTCTCAGTACATTTGTATGTAATGGCGTAATTAGAGTTTTTTATTTTCATTATTATTATTAATTTTGTTTTGGAGTCTTTGAGCTAACAGACCAAAATGGATTCTGTGGGGCTGTTCAGTCTAGTAGTGGAATTACTCTAAAAGGAAAGAGAATGAAAAAGTACCGAATTGTGCAATAGATAAATATAAAAGCATACTGTTCTTTTGTTTTCAACCAAAAGAAAAAACTCATGAAGAAACATATGCAGATCAAACATTTTGTTTGTTGAAGTACTTGCATGTAGCCAACTGAGAAAGAAACACACAAAAACAGTGCCAGAACAGTAAACAAACAAAGAAAAGGCTTAAAAATCACTTGGTTTTAGGAGACCTATTCACAATGGATATTAATGTAGGTGACTTCTTACCTATTCATTACGTACTTGTATGTATGCATTGTACAAAAACATATCAGTGGTCCCTTCCCATTCAGTCAAGTGTTAAAAAGCTTTGTTGTTGTTGTTGTTGTTCTTTTTCCCTCTGCTCTATCTCACTTCTTTCTTGTGCTGATGAATATGATGTGAAGAGAGAGATGTTTCAAAACCTTTACCAAGGTACCTCCGTTCCTTTTCCACAACTACTCAGTTGTGGATTGCAAAAAGAGGGATTCTCTAAGAGGACTATGAGATTTTTAATTAAATATTTAATTAACATTTAATTAAATATTGTAAAGAAAAAGGAAAAAAATCTGCTTTTATCAGCCAAGTGAAAATAGTCTTTTCTTTTGTTGTTGATTACATGAATTATGTCTGTAGCATCAGAGCAAGACAGTGAAGAAATTTCAGAGTTATGCCAAGGGCTTACGAAGCTTTCTGAACTGTGAATCCCAGCGTGCCATAATTGCAAGAGCTATGCTACTCAGTAGTTAAAATTGTCTAATGTTACCCTAAATTAGCATCCTACTTTACTAACCTTTCACCTATAATCCTCAATCTGCCTAAGTGAAAAATGACATTTAGTCCTGTCACTACTGACATGCAACGTGAGGTCAGACGTATGCAGAGCATTGCTTGGTGCAGGATGGGAGGTATGTGTGACCAAAACAATCTGACAAGTGTAATATTTGGCCTACACAGCGATGGTACTTTTAATTTCATGAAGCACAAATCACAGTAATGGAAATGTTCAGGTCATATAACTGGATACTTTGTTGAGGAGTTTCTCAGGAGTGAGGAGAAGCAAATTCAGAATGTAAAACCAATTGCATAGAAAGGGCTCAAATAGGCCAAACGATTACACAGTTTTAATATATCAGGTGCATCAAGTTTGTCTTTAAGCATTAGCTTTTAGGAAGTAACAGGAATATGTGATCTTTGCTTCTGAATAGGATGTCATCTTACAGCCTTGGAAAACAATGTATGTACTGTATTAGGGATCAGTAATTTCTGTCTGTAGATCAAGAACTGTCAATTTCCAGTCCATTAAATTTCCTAGCAGAAGGGTAAATCTCTTTATATGTTTGTGACTGTAAAGGAGATAAGACTTTGCAGTTTTAGCTGCCTTTCCTCAGCTGTTTACAGAGCCTGAGGGCCCTGCGGGCTGAAAAGCATTATTCTGGAGAGAGGGAAGGCTCTGCGTGCTTCTTGTGATGGTGAAAGATTTGAGGAAGGTTGCAACTGCTACAGAAATCAATCAATCTGAGAGCATAAGTGTGGTTTCCCTTTGGGGTACTTTTGGATCTGAGGAAAAAGAAGTTTTACTTCTGTCGTTCATTAACTAACCAAAGAAACTTAGGTAGTTGGCACAGAGCTCTGGGAAGCAGGGAGTAGCGTGCTTTGAGTCTGCCCTAAAAGCGGTCTGTAGGAGTATAACATTCCAAAAATGATCTTGTCCTTCTGATCTATATTTCTGATTTTAAGACAATGGATTTTTTAGTTTAGTTGTATATTTAGGAGGCTAATCCATACTCAACAGAATTTTATTTAAATATTTATAATGTTATAACGAGGTATTTATTTGCATAATTTGAATTATGTCATTTTTTAAAGGCTTACATAATGGGATTACCAGTATTTATTGAATTCTTGGATGCTTAGTAGGGTTGTTTGTTTGTTTTAATCTCTGGGATACCTGATAAATGGTGAAATACCAGTCAGCTATTAGAACTCTCCTCAAAGCAAAATAAATCATCAGTTCAGTGGTGAAAACTCTTAAATCTAACATGGTAAGATAAACTTTCCTTTTGTAATATTTTCCATTGTAATTTTGTGCTGTCCACAAGTGCCCAGTTATCTCTTTCTCAAGGAGTTCTGATAACTGTATAGTTTTATGGAAGTTCTTTGCTTTAGACAAACTGCAACATAAGTTACTTCTTTGTTTGCTTTAATAATAAAAGGTAGATTCGTGTTCTATTTCCTGCTTGTACAAAATAATACCTGTTTATACTATAACTTTTTAAGACATTTGTTTTACTTTTTTTCTCAAAGAAATGATTATATTTTGTTAGCATATACTTATGTTTCAGTTATTCATGGGGTCCTTTTTCAGATTTTTAAGATCATATTATTGTTTTGTGTTCCTGACTTAGTTTTATGGCTCTAAATCGAGAGACTGTAATGGATTTTGTTGAACTGTTTTAATATTGATAAATGAGACTTTGCATTTCTTATGGTTTTTATTGTCAGCAACTTTCATCTTTTAATATATTTCCGTATCACCGTGTGCGTTGTGTTGTATATAAGCAATTGTCACTTACAGATTTGAAGTTGTTACTCGCTGTGTTTCTTGCTGGATATTATGAGGGAGGCAGATGATTGTTGTTTCCTTCCTTTTGTAAGAATGAGATTATTTTAACAAGTTAGCTGTGTGTGCACACAGACAGGTGTGTTTACCTATAGTGTGTGCCACCACATCTCTGGGAGCGTAAGAAAATCCAAGTGTACCCTTACTTCTGCTTTTATTGTGCTGTGCATTTTTAATGCTGATTTTTTATTTTTTTTTTTTTCCTACAGGAAGTTATTTGAACTAAAGAGTTCTTCTCTTTCCAGGTGAGCTCATTATATACTTTTAGGTATCTAGAATGAGGGTTTTTTTATTGGAAAAAATGCAAGAAGATAAATGGGACAAATTAGATGATAACTTCTGATCAGGTTACTGTGAATCCAAATTTCCTGTTCAGTTAAATTTATACTTTTACCTAATTATTTCCTGCTAGGTGAATTTATAACTGCAGGAGCAAAAAAAGTCTGCAGGTCAGTGTTCATTCTTGACTGACTGCTAAATATTTGCATCCAGGAGTAAAATTTGGCCATGATATTTTTGATTTGTGCCTGTAGTCTTCCATTCTCATTTCCTTGGCAATTGATGGCTGAGTAAGAATCGCTTATGTGCTAAACATATTTGTTATTGTAAGTAACTCTTCTGTTAGCTTTCTGAAGTTTTCTTTCCTGTCAATGTATTTTAAGCAAAGTTTTAAATATATGAGCCCAAATATAAATGTGTATTCAGACTTTGTGGCAAAATTTTTAAGCTAGAGTTAGGATTTTTTTTGTATGTTGATCAGTGTGTAACTACACTGAATACAATTCTAATATATAGTGTTTCCAGCAGTTTTATACTTCGTGTGAAAGGTTGAACAGTACAGTGCAGGTGTTTGGATGTAACAGTCAAAACTCTTGCTTCTTTTCTTCAGGAAACTAAATGTCTGTCAGGAGTTTGTCTCAGTTAATCCGTGGTAGAGCGAGTTGTGTCAGGACTTACATAGGAAAGTGAAGTTTGCAGTTTGAAGGTATGTGTCTGGCTGCGATTCACAACAGCAAAAGCAAGTTGTATTTATCTGAAGCTTATTCCAAATCTAGGAATTCTCTCTAAAGTCACCTGGTCAGTCTACACCAAGCAAACTTGGTGTTTTTTATTTTATTTTTTGGGTAATGATATGGATAACAGAGGATGGTCTAATGACAGGTATGAACGAAAAAACAGCTGCTTAATCAGTGTAGTCACAAAATGTCTATGCTGCCATCTAGTTGTGGTAACCTTTTTAACCTTTAATTTCCTCCATATGATGTGTTGCATGTGACTTGCCCACCAAAATGTGGCAGCACTCTTTTCGAGGAGCCGCCTTGAAACCATGCCAAAATCTTAGGTCCCTATGGAGTGAACCATGGAGCATGGGATTTTTCTACAGAATGGTCGCATACTTAACATAATTTAATTAAGACGTGTAACAAATGTCTGATAATAGCAGTCTCTCCGTGGTGGACCAGTAAGTCTTCTCTGTGTATCTTGATCTGAATTGCTGCTTGCCTGTGTCTCCGTGTGAGACCAGAATAAATCCGTGGTTCTGAGGAGGGCTTTGCCTCATGGCATACCAAGATAAAAGCTGCATGATGCTTTATCTTAAGGCTAATGGTTTGTCTTAAGCCCAGATGAACTTAGGTGGCAGGTGATTTGCAGCCCTTTGCTAACACTGCCGTGCTGTACCTGAGGGAGAGTGCGGGGCTGTGCTGAGTGGCAGTCAGCATCGCAGCTGCTGTGATGGGGATGGGGAGTGTAAGAACATGGTTGTGAGAGGAACCAGGCTGTTGTAGGAGCTGGGGATACAGCAATATGTGGAAATAGGGATGGAAGATGGAGGACTGAGTGGAGAAAGCGCTCTGTGGAAGAACACGGAGAAACACTGGTATGGGGACAGAGGTGCCGCAGAGCTGCACCTGGGTGTGTGCCTGTAGCAGAGTCGGTGTAGGCAGTGCTGTGTTTGTGCTGTCGGACACGAGCAGGTAGATGAGCTGCGGACCAGTAAATGCTGTAAAGAATAGCAGTAGGTGTTTCTCAACGATGTTCTCCAGCAGCGACCGTATCGCCCTGTGGAGGACAAGCCCTGCCCACTCCGTGCTGGCAGCGTGCTAAGCTGGAGCCCGAGATGGCCTGCTGATTTACAGTTATTAAATCATTCGTAAGCAGAGTTAAGGACTTGACAGTGAGAATGCAGAATGCCTGCAGTCGGATTTGTAAAACGGGTTATCTCTGGTTCCATCCTGTGGCCCTCGAAGCGTCCTCGCACCCCTGACGGGCATATCTGAGAACCACCTTCGGTGGCTCCTTATCCTCGGGCTCCCGGAGCTGGGCCCCGGGGCCTCCTGGAGGCAGAGGCAGCCGGGGCTGGGAGAAGGAGGCGACGCCGAGGCGCTGCGTGCGAGTGTCGGCGCCGCCGGGAGGCGCGGAAGGCCGCAGCGATGGGGCTGCGACGGCCGTGATGCGGCGCTTGCGTGCGGCTCCGAGCGCCTCAGCCGAGGCGGCGCACCCCGCTCACGTGATCGGTGCCGACCAATGGGGCGATCGCGTGATGCGCGGCGGCCGGCGGCTGCGTCGGGGCGGCGGGCCAAGATGGCGGAACGTGCTTGAGGGGTGGCGGCGGCCGCGCGGGAGGGACGGGCAGGCCCGGCTGTGGGGAGGGTCCGCGCTGCCCCCGCTCCCTCCCGGGGAGGATGGTAAAATGACCCAGGGGGGGAAGAAGAAGAAACGCGCCGTGAACCGCAGCATCATGCTGGCCAAAAAGATCATCATTAAGGACGGAGGGACGGTGAGGCCGGGCGGGGCCGGAGAGCGGGGGGGGGGGGGAGGCAGGCAGGCTGACGGGAGGTGGCGGCGCGGGGCAGCCTGCGGGCTTCGAGCCTCGGCCGGAGCCGCCGTGCGGCGGGACGGCGCCCGGCCCCGCTCTCGGTTCGCGCCGCGCTTCTCGCAGCGCGGCCTCGGCGCGAGGAACGGCCGTGAGTCGTGGCGCGGAGTCGCTACAGGCGCGCTGAGCACGGCGTATCGGGAGCTGGGAGCAAACGCGACACCTGCGGCTGTCGCGCCGCGCGGCTGAGCGCGCGGAAGCCGAGTGGGGCCGGGGCGGCACGAGGCTGGGCGGCATGCTCCGTACTGTGAGGGAGCGGCCGGAGCTCCGGAGCAGTGGGTGCCAGGCTGCGCCGCCGCTCCTCCGACGGCCCGCCCTCCTCCCGTGTGCCGGTCTTTATTCGGGCGCTCGGCTCTAGGGGCCTGTCATCCGTTTTGGCAGCTGGAGCCCGATCTTTGATTTGATCTGTCAGTGGTTGCTGACGACACGTCGCCTGTGGGTCTTTTTTTTCTGCCGTGCAGTACTGTAGATTGGATGCGTGCCCTTCTAACGCAGTGTTTTTATTTCAAGAAAGCCTTTAACGCGGGGACGTGTCGGCCTCCGGGGGCCTCCTCAAACTCTGCGTGAAGTGATGGAGTGAGGGCTGGTGCTGGCGTGGCACGTGTGCTAGTGGATGGCCTTTTGGAACGAGCAGGGGGCTGGTTATTACGTAACAGTGCGCTTCGGAGTGAATTCTCTCTGGAACCATCAATTGCTGATGAAAATACAGTGTGTTTCGAAGCGCCCTTCATCGTTCAACTAATATTTGCCAAGAGACAGAAAGGGTTGTATGTTTTTAAAACTTCCAAGCTACCTGGTATAACATCCTTATAATGCCAGCACGAACTTAATATGCCTGGATTGCCACTGTTGCTCAGTGCTGGAACATCCTGTCAGGTCCTCCGTGCCCAGTCTTCCTGGTTTCTTTGTCTGCCCAGCGTGCTATGGGACACGATGGGAAACAGGTAAATGAAAAGGGCTTGTGTCTTGAACGTGTGCGGTTAGCAAACCAGTCATTAATCTAGCATCTGAGTGAACAGTTTCCAGCCTCACTGGTTTATTTTCAAGCCGTTTCACATCAAAGAAAACTCAGTGACTTTTGCCTGCAAGGGGATGCAGCTGCCTAATAAAGCACTGTCATAGGGTAAATAGTTTATTGATGAGGAACTTAATTTATTGTAACTTCTGTTTACTGATCTTGATGTTCAAAGAGATTAAAAAAAAAAAAAAAAGCAAAAGGGGAAGAAGAATCCACTTAGTGCCCTGTGGAACCTCTCCCAGCTCTACAGTTGTGCAGGGTCATGCAGCGAAGTGCTGAGCACTGCAGGCTGGGGCAGCTTGTGATGCTGCTTGTGGTCTCATTGGTTGTGCTCTGGCCTCTGTGCAGACCAGAGCCCCCAACCTATCCCTCCTGCTGATTCTGCCCCTTTTGTCTCTCCTGGCATGGGCAGGTTTGGGTGTATGTTTGATTATTCCTGTGTTTTGGTGTTTACCACCTTACTGCTTATACAGAGACTTTGTAAACTCAGCTGGTTCAGGCACCATGGGCTCTGGGTGATGTGCCCCTGGCACACAGCGTGTCGCTCCTGCCCACTCTCACAGAGCTCAGCCTGCTGCCAGTAACCCTGCCAGCCCGGTTGGATGCCTGCACCTGGCATGGAGGAGGCCCTGGGCCTTGTGCTTCTGTCCTGAGCCCTGGCTGGAGCTAGTGGCACGTTCAGCATCTTGGTACTTGGCATAGGATGGTTCTTCCTGAAGTATTAAGCTTGTGGTGATGGTAATTAGATTTGTTTCCCTTCATCATGAATTATATAAAAGTTCGTGGAGGAAGCACACTGTGGCTGACGACTGTTATAAGTAAATAGTTTCAGAATCTTGCTGTTACAATTTGACAAGGATGACTGTGCCAGCAGTATCCCATAGAACTGCTATTTTAAAACTGATATTTTTGTATTACTCTTTGCAGTTTAGTAGCTGTATCACAGAAAGTAGCGTGCAGTGGTGTTTGT